TTTCATCTAGAAAATGCATTTTTCATAATTATCATCAGTTCTTGATGTCAATCACGTAATCATCATTTCTCATTTGATAATTTTTCCCATCATCAATTTATGAAAAGTTCAATATTGATAAATTAATATGTGATTGTTTCTTCTCTTTTTACTTTTCCACTTTTATATAAAAATAATTACGTGATCGATATCAAGTTGATAATAAATTTCGCAGAAAATATATCTCTTCTATTGCGCGATAAAAGTTAACTTAGCAAATAATATTAATACTACTGATTGTCTGTACACTTTCTTTCCATTTCCGTTCTCATAATTAATTATAAGTTAAAGTTCTGAAGGTGCAAAAAGAGATCGAGAAATTCCCATGAGACAAAGTTCTGAAGGTGCAAAAAGAGATCGAGAAAATCTCATGAGACAAAGACATCATCTACCTTATTTTCTCTCGATGAGTCGAGGCTTGCCAACTTTTCTCGCGTCGATCATTTCATTGACAATCATTAATAAAGATACTAAAGATAATAAATATACAAGATATAAAGAAACTTATAGGCTAAATATACATTCATATTTATAAAAAGAATCTATATAATAGTGTAATTTTTTGAAAATGGGAACTTGTATTTTTTCTAAAGTATCTAAAGACAATATTTTTACAAAATGAATATTAAATGAATATTATTCACATTCGATTAAACTGATTTGAAAATTTACAAATCGGAATTTGATATTTTAATGATATCTCGAATTATTAAAAAGTACAAGAATATTCAAAAGTTTTAGTTACAAAATTGTCAGATGTTAGAAATGCAAATCGCATAAAATTCATATATTATAATTTTATTATTATTATTCGTTATTATTTGTTTATAATTCGTAGGAATTAAATGGATAAACAGTAAAAAGATATCAATTTTACGCAAAAAACTAAAATGAGAAGCGAGAGAGAAATATAACTTTCTACTTTTACGCAATCAAATTTTAATGAAGTTCTCTTAAAAACCACTACTGCTGTCTACTTTAATATACTTTGCAACTAATCCCTATTCCTTCTGGAATAGGAAGCTTTAACTGATATGAAAGATCGAGCTCCGATCAACTTGTGAAACTCGGAAAGCTTCTGTTGACTTCAAGCTCACGACTGTAATAGAAAGCGCTTTGTGTATCCGTTTTACATATATCGTATGAAAATGTAACAAAGAGAGTGCGTTTTGGAGTTGGCAGGCCTTGTCCCGGGAGTTCTTTCATAAAAAAAGGATCAATTACAATTGTGTTATAAAGAGAATCATCAATCAATCAATCAATCCGATCTCTATCGTGCGCGTCCATATTACATATTACATACTTAAACACACGCACACAATTCGTATAAGTCTTTTGCGGATTTTATGGTTCGAATCGCGGATGTATTTTGTTGTCGCTAAATTTATCTGTCTCGAAATCAGTCAAGATCTCAGTCTAATAGTACGCTGACCCAAATCTGATCGGAATCATGAATTCTACCAGAGACAGGAGATCCTAATGGGATATATAGATGTAGTAAATTCGATTGAATCTCTACCCTTCGTCGGTGTACCTAATTAAATTGCATGACGTAAACTGATCAAATAAATGTTGCAAAACTTTATCGATTTTACTATGATTTATTTCATGAGAAAAGAAGAATTTCCTAAAATTATCTAATCTTTAAATGATCGTCTTGTATATGTATCTTCTCGCACATTAAACATTGTATTTACATGTCGATATATTAAAATTAGTTATCAAAAATAAATTATACGTTCTAAAATCGAGGAAGCATTTTCTATTATCCTATTTTAAAAATGTGAGAACAATTAACAAATATTCTTTCCTAAATATTATAAATAAATTTTATTTCGTTATTTTTGATGTTGAAAGAAAGAAACAAGAACAAGATATATAATTTATTATGCGCATTGTGTGCGTAACAGTAATGATTTACAAGCTATAAAATCTTCTTTGTACGTTAAAACAAATTTGATATATTTCCGGATTAATATAGAACGCTAATGAATGTAGGTTGGAAAATTTTACGATTACGTATTCTGTATGTTAAAACGGAAATTTTCTTCAGTGCAAATATTCATATTCTATTGACTTAATATTTCTATTCTTTCAATCTCTTTAATTCTTGATGTATTCTATTTTGCGCGTTAATCTTCATAAAATTACAGGGATCCGTTAGATCGATGAAAGCAAATACAAACTGATGTGAAATACGTCATCATCGAATAAATATTTCCCGAAACGAACATTAAAATCGGTTTAATTTTGATAAATTTGATAAATTCTTAAAGTTGTAAATATACAATTATTATCATCTTAACATTTTCGCATATCTGTTATTATCACATATCTCATGCGATATGTATAAAAAATTTAATTCTCTTACTACTTTTGATTTGATTAATATGGTAAAATAATAATCAGACCTATATTAATAAACTAAAACACTTTTCATTACTCATCTTTATAATAAATAAGAAAATAATTAATCCATTGAAAAATTATCTAAGAAAAAAGATGGTATCGCTTTCCTGATGCTTCATAAAGTGCTAGAACCAGATTTGATCTCACCGTAGTGATTGAAAGTAAATGCTATATATAGCTTAAGAGTCTTTTACGTAAAGTATCTAAAGCCACAAGAGGTTTACCAACGATCAATAAATAATTCCGAAAAGCGCAGCTTTAGAGAATATCATATTTTAAGTGATCTCACTTGCATGTATACAGATACATTTCGCTTTATTATCATAATATAAAAATTATCACAATATAATATTTAATTATCATATATCTGGCAAAATTAAAGATCGATATTGTTACATATAAATTCTTAGAAAATCGCATCGATTTTATTCATCACTGCACATGAAAATGACATTATCTTGTTCTGAATCTCAGTTTGATTATTTTATTTTCAACAAATATTCCTTTTTCATTAAACGATATTTCCAGTAACTTGATTTAAAAATATAATCACTGCTTTCCAATCGCTTCAAGTCGCTTAAACTTGTCCCATTTCTCTTTAAATATATGGCACTATTTAAGCACAATAGGGGAGGTTTTCATGCACAGGAGTTTATACTGCAGCTGCTTGAATCGTATTATTAGCAACTATAAATAAAAAGTCACGCTATTGGTGCAACGAGGTAGGAGACACTGTTATTATTTATGTCATGTTCTTGGTATTGTTTTTTGTTTAGCTTCAATATCTATTTTAATATGTTACTTGTATTATTGTTAATTAGATATTATTGTTATATAGTGTTCACTTAATATCTTATTATCACATAAGAGTGCAAAGTAAAATTTTTATATATTTTTTCGTTTTATAATACGCTTATTTATATGACAAGCATAAATGTAGCGTTTGTTAAAGTTAAAAAAAATCAATTTTTTGTATCGCGAATAAATTAATTTCGAATGAACTAGCATCATAATAGCATAGCTTAGTTTTGACTTGCACATTGCACCTCCTCGCACTAATGGCAGGCTAAACAGTGACAGTTGTTCAACATTAAGACAATGCTTCGCACAGTACACATCAATGCTTTTTATTAATTATCGAGTCACGCGAAGATGCTTATAGTTTATCGAAAATGCTTTTGAGTAGAGCTAAAGCAGCGCGTCGTATCGCATAGAAAATTCCAATGCCAATAAAAACAAATAATATAAAAACAAATAATATATTAAGAAGAATAATGCTAACTATACCTTGAACGATTTTTAATAGCGTCAAATCGTTCAAATATATAGCTTTCGCGATACGACAGCGCGATTTACGCGTCAAATAGGCGATACGAAAATTCGGATGAAAATGTACTCCAAAACATTTCTAATGGAAAAGAAGAAATGATATGTTATGTTAATATAATGGAGTTATTAATATAATTGGTATAATTTATAGAAAAAGAACAAAGAATGTTTTTAAGTAAATGTCTTTTAAAATTTTGACGTATATAAAATTTAATATTCTTACTATCTCTAATATTTTAAAAAATATGAATGTAAAATTAATAATTGATTTATTATTATTTACTTCTCTTTTTAGGTACCTGTTCTCATTTTATATATATAAAATCAGACGGATATTGATTATATTTTATGAGAATAACAATTTCATCTGAATCAATTATCAGAAATCAATTATCGCCTCTATTTGATTAGCGTTTATTATCCTGAATATACGATGAGCTTTGTGTAAGTATTTCCAGCTCTTAGCTGCAATAATAATCTACCAATATTTATATGAAATAAAAATGAAACTAATAAGTCATAATCGATGTAAAATATGACATCTATAATTTTTAAGATGATAAAAATATTTGTAAGAAAAAAATGCGCCATAATACGTTAGCATTTACCTAAAATTGTAATGCTTAAATCCTCTTAAGTTGATAAATATAAAGATATACGTATAATATTGTAGATTGTAAATTCGTGAAATCGTACTCTTATTGCAATTGTTTAAGAGAAATAGAATATAAGAGGGCAGTGAGGATGCTATTGATGAGGTTCAGATTTTTTGATGTATTAAATAAGATTGATTTTATTTTACAGTACTTAATTTGGTGTTTCTTTCTTACTTGGTACAAGTATACTAATTTTCTTTAAAATTGAAGAAATTTGACTCTTTATTGGCAAGATATTTATTGGTATGAAGAAATTATAGTAGATAATGATCCTCTATCTAATCCGTGCAGACTAACAATCGAGATCGAATTTTCGATAACGAATTTATAACCGGGAAAAAATTGCAGAATCCCCACGGCGCATCCTGTAGTTCACTCTCGTCTCTGCAATCTTGTTCATGGCACCCTTACTCGCCGCCCACCCCCTCGGCCTCTCAACTTTTCTTATCACATAGATCCCACGTGCATTAAAATATCACGCTTCGAGAGGCCGCTCTCGACCGCAATTATCACTGCCGTCGATCGCGCTCCCGTGACGGTAACGTGATCAAAAACTAAAATTTCCAGCATCTGCACTGGTCGAACCATCACGTGGACTCCTTAGACAGCGGCGGAGCTTTAGGCTGGCCGAGAACCTCGAGGCCGCGCGTCAACAGTGCCATCGACGTGGCGGGCTTTCTATCGCAGGTAAGTAATTGTGCCAGGAAAAATCCACGCAGAAAGATCGATGGATTACACGAGGTGGACAGCCGCGTCCTCGAATCCGCCGATCGATCTGCTGGGGCGATTTCGCCGCGACCTTCCCCCAGCTGGACTAACCATGCCCGCCCGTACAGTCGTTTTCCGATTATAGCAATCGAGGAGATTGAAATCGGAAATCAGTGAACGAGTTCCAAGGGTAACATTTAGCTTCAACTATACGATACGAATATTTACAACAGAGTAATTCCGTCTCTCCTTTGTAACTTAAATCTGTACAATTGATATTTGGAAATTGCATGAAAAATAAAATAAATATAATTTCTTCAAATAAAATTCAAACTTGCGTATCTTGGAACTTAAGCTGATTCATATTTCTTAATACGAAAATGCAAATATGATACATATCAATATATCCTCGGGACTATCAAAAAATAAGACGTACTGTATAAGTACTTTATACGATAGCAATACCTACAAAACAGAATCACAATTATTTATGGTAAATTAATTTTTACAATCTTGTACGCAAAGAACAGAATAAGAAAGATAAATGAGAAATATATATATATATATATATATATATATATATATATATATATATAGGCGTCTTTGGAAGCTAGCCAGGGCCTGTTCAGATCCATCTGCCATTTAGAATTCTCCATGGCAATCGGCATTGCATCGAATGAAGTTCCAACAACGCTCTGGATTCGCATATGACTGTGCTAAATAGCGGCATTAAGTGTGAGATCTGGAGTTCAGTGGTTTTAGAGCAGTTGCCCGGAAAACGAAAGACTCGGATTCGATTCTCGATCCAGCCATTTGCGCTTCGCATATTTTCTATAAATATTGTTTTTTAGCAATTATTTGTTGGGCTGAAAAATGTGTCAATGCTTTACATACAGGTCGATGCCGTTACCACGGATGGATTCTGCCGCTCGTTGACCAAATGAGCAAAACACGGCTGATCTCCTCCCTCACATAAGTTGTAACTTATATTGTAATAATATATGACATCTTTATCACTTTCCATTTTTTCCTTACAATCTTCTCTTCATTGTTCATAAATTGTAATTTATTTAGCAGAATCTATTTCAGACGATGTATCCATAATATTAATGACATTATAAGTAAATAGATTCTGCTAATTATAAATTATAATATGAATAATAAAGAGGATTGTAAGGAAAAATGAAAATGTTATGATGAAGATGTTATATATCATTATCTCTTTCCATTTCTTCCTTACAATCCTCTTTATTATTCATAAGTTCATTTATCTTTTTTAATATTCTGTTCTATACTTTACATGCAAGATTGTAAAAATTATTCTAGCATAAATAATTGTGATTCTGACACAAAAAAATATATATGTGTGTGTTTTATATAGAAAAATTGTAATATTAAATATATAACTTTTATATATATAAAAAAATTATTTTTTTATTTAATTAAGTATATTATTAATGTATTAATATTTGTGTGAATAGAGACAATTTGAGATTAAAATTTTATTGTGTGTGTTAATAGTATTCAGTTTTATTGAGCTTTAATGTAATATCATTAATAAAAGAGATAAAATTATCGACCAATGTATCTCTCTCTCTCTTTTTGAATTTAAAAATTAAGTTTAACAAAGTTATAATTTATAAAATAGATAGCGATAGCTAACTGCGTAAACTTTCATACAAGAGTACTATATTTTATGAAAGAAAGCATAATTCTAATTGCTTATGAAAGAAAAATAATAGTTCATTAGGCTTCCTATGAATTCTTTTTGTAAGACATGTTGCACGAATGTCCGGTAATTTTTTATTCTATCAAAACATAACAGGTTAAATCATTATAAACATAATAGTTGCGATTATATGTACATTGCTCGAAAATTAAAAATGTCTTCTCGATATTTTTCTTTCTCTTACTTACGATTGTTACACGATTGTTATAGTTTCAGATTGCGCGTTTCGGGATATATTGTTAACATAACGCAACCAAGTCAAAGGGAATAATCATATCCCTCAGTGCGACAGTTATTTCAATAAATAATGAACACGAAAGAGTTCATGCGAAAGAGATACCTCAAACGTCAAAGTTCAAGGTAGTTTGAAGCAAAGTGTAGTGCACCACAGATGATCGATATGTTCGTGGATTACTTGTAAGAGGAAATGGATAAATTCATTTTCGCCGCATGAATGTGTGTATTACATTTCAAAATCGCGTTTCTCATTAAGGCACTAGATGTCTATTTTACTATTTATTGTACACCATTTATATCGTATAAATTTTTCTCTAATCTCTTTATATACACATTATATTATGACACGCTGCTGTCGCGATTAGCACAAAATTACTAATTAATTGATTCGCAATTGGCACAATATATTTAGCACAATGATATCGTCAATTATCTAATGTAAAATATTTGATGTCTTTTAACGTTGATATTATATACGAAATTATTGCATTCTCTGCAATGATGGAATTAAACTAAATTTTCAAATAATCGATCGTTTTCAAGTACTATTAAATTATATATATTCTCAAATTATCTGTATAAATTAATATTAGAATATTTCGCTGTAATGTAAATTCTCTAATATTTGTACCAATTAGACAAAATTTTTATCATTTCTGAAATAAAATTTGTTGTCTATAAAACTGAAATAGACTTTATTATTCAACATAATCTGTAAATAATACAAGCACGAAAGAAGATATGCCCGGTAAACACAACAAGCACACGTTACAGTATGATTAAAAATATTCCTACTCAAAAAAACATTATGTTCTTCCGCGTTTTGATTCACGTATCTCTATCTTCGATCACATTGTTCATTGTGTTACACTTAATGACGCACAATGTAAAATCGTATCCATAAAAAGTCTGTTAAGATTCTACTAAACAATGTTGTCCTAATTACATGCGTAGTTCTTTCTGATCACATTCAATGCTTTTTCGTTTCAGGAATTTCTGCGACGTCACGGGTCCACGTCCAAGTTATGTCGAAAGGTTCGCAGTGCAGATAATTTACCTCTCGTGTCGACGAATCGTCAACAGGATCAACAAAGAAATTCCAAGGACGAAGGTATCGAAGGGGATCGGGAATCTTTCCTGAAACCAAATCAGGACGATAAGTCTGATGACCAAGAATCAAGGAGACAGAGTAGTATCGAGAGTGCAACGAAAGACAATATGGAAATGCTGTTGGATTCCAATTGTCAACAGCCTTCTTCAAGGTAAGTTAAGTTTAATAAATAAATAAATAAATATATATATATATATATATATATATATATATATATACATATATACATCAAATTTTTCACTTGTTACATTCTATAATCTGATAATTCACTAATATTAAAGATATATGTTTATACATAATATTTTGATTGTTATAAAAATTAAAATAATTTGAGGAATTAATTTTATTAAGCGAACACTATCTTTATATATAATTCAACGACTTGGACGTTACTTTTTATCCCGTTTCGATAGTAGATTATATTAGTGTCTTAAAAGGTTAAGATATGCAGATCAGATATAAGAAAAACGATAATATTCTCGTTTATCGAAGATTTGCATCCCGACCCAGGAAACTGTCATATTGATCGTAGAACGCAAATTGTTCTAGTTGCATCGTGATTTTAGATAAACGATGTGCTATATCTTTTTTCCTTTTCATATTTCTCTATTCAATTTTTCACGATTTACTAATACCACAAGTGTTTTCATTCGTAAAAACAGTTTTATGAATATTTATATAATACAATAGAAATAAATAACACTTTCTATTATTTAATGCATATGAAAATACTCTTTGACATATTCGCATATGTAGTATATTTTAATGATTACAATAAGAGCATGCGCATTTCATATTTTACAGATATTCGATTATATTTGCATAAGTAAAAATAAATAAATATAATACTATAGCAATTTTCAATTTCAAAATAAATAATATATACACAATAATACCACATTTTACTGAACAATATTGTCTAAATGAATGTATTTATTTATTAATTAATTTATTATTATAAGTAAATATTAAAAATAAAATTTTTATTTGCGTTTTAAAGATTAATTCTTTTTTATTATAAGTTTTTACAAAATTTTATATATCAGATATTTCGAAAGGACGAATTTGTACATTGTTCATTGCAAATACAAGATATCTTACAATTAGAAATTTTAATTTTGCTAAACAATAATTAACGAATTTATAAAATTTAAAATTTAAAATTGCGTAAAATAATTTTCATCTTCGAATGTATGTAACGTAAATAAATTTGTATCGCAAAGGTTTTTTTTTCTAACAACATATGCTTTTTATTCGAATGCTGAAACTACACATATCTTGTATAATAATTAACAATTTTATATTGTTATAGCAATTACCACAATTTTATTTTTCTATATGACACGTGTGTAGAATATTGTATATGTGTATAATATTCATGTTAGAAATATTAGTACATACATTAAACACCATTATATTTTTCCGCCGAGAATATAACACATATTCAATGTAACTGCAATTTAACCTTTATTATGTTCATTGACATGTCAAATTAAATTAAACACATTCATGCGTAAATATAATTTCAGTCTAAATATGAAAAAATTTGCCATTATCATGCCTTATGTGATCTATAAAACTTTTGCGATATAGCTAAATAAGTTAAAATCTTAATATTATAATAATAATATTGATAAGTATTACAAAAAAGATAATGATTTTTAAAGAAAACGATATTACACGATATTAATATTATCATCAATGTCATCGAAAAAAAATCTTTAAGGAAATATTCAATAAAATACGGAATAGATTTTAATTGAAATATGATTATTATATTAATTTTTCGTAATAATTATATAGTAAAATTATAAAGAAGAAAATAATATTTTATTTGTTCTCAGATATTGTTTATAATATATATCATATCGTATTACAATATCGTGTTATATTACGTTACAGTAAAAGAAATATATTGAGATTTCATTTTATTATTATTTATGTAAATATTTTCTCTATTTTTTCTCTCTTATTATTTTTAAAAAATAGTTATTAACATTTAAAATTTATCTTCACAATATTTTATAAATATGTGATTATGTTTGAATAAATCTTGATAAATCAAAACCTGCAATATTTAAGTTTATCAATTATTAAATTATTGTTGTTATTTAGCTTCATTGTGGTTTTAATGTATTGAGAAAGAAATATCAACACGGCTATTTGTATTCATTCTATATTAGTTATTAGGAATGCAGATCGCTAGTACGACTTCACAAAGTAGTAAACGCATCGACCTGGCCGCAACATAGTCAGGTATATTCTTGCCTGCAGCGTCACGCGCGCAAGCGATAATGACAGTCCAGGGAATTTAAATGCGGCGATACATTATTGCGGGAACGCGGCGACTTCGATCCGCGATGCACGACCTCCCCTTCCTGGTCGGTTGGGTTTATCGATCAGAATTTTACTAGGCGATGTCCACTTGACCCGCGCTTCGCATGTAAATGACTTTGCTACTTTGCAACCCTTTGCAATCGCTCGCGCTGCGCGACCTTCCGCTTTTCGCAGCGCGTATTACCGTGTTATTCTCGTATCGCTACATCATGTTGCGAACTCATGTAGCGATTAGCATCGAAGGATAACACTCTTTGTCGGTCTTTGTCGTTTAAAAAAAAGCTGCGCGAATTGTGTGTGATGTTTAATTCCTTGACTATCAAAACACAGTAAAATTATTCTAGAATAGAATTAATAGATTCTGCTTTAAATAAACTTTTAACGTTTTATTAGGAATTATATCTGTTAATATAACGCCTCTGATTAAAGTTTGTATTTACATTTGGCTATTAAAATATATTTAAGATAGATTTTGTATTCATTGAATTAACTTAGAAACGAATTGTAAAAAACATTTTACAGTTATTTTAATTTAAAATTAATATCATTTTAATCAATATACATTTTGTATGTATCGATATAAATAGTAGGAGAGTAATACTGAAGATGAGATGACATTATATTATAATAAAAACCATTTGCTTCAAATTGAAAATAGAAAAAGTTCATTGTTGTAATATTATTACATTATTTTTAATAATAAAATAATTAATAACAAAAGAGAAAGAGAGAGAAAACTTTTTAAAAATTAGATTTAATTTAATACTGACGGAAAATAACTGAATTTTTTCCAATTTAATGCTGAAATTTGTTAGCAGAAATGTTATATTATTCGTACGTTAATAACAAAAGTTATAATATATATAAATTATATATTAAATTAAAATTTGAAGATTTTAATTTGATATATTTAGAAAGTTAAAATATTAAATTTTATTATTTTATATATGTAACAAATGTATGTATCGGAATTTGAATTATAAAATGTGATTAAAGATGATACAAGAACTGTGATAATTATTTCTAGCAACAAAGAACATTATGAAATAGAAAATTTTTCCAATTTGATCATATAATTTTATAACTACATTTATCGAATATTTTACATAATAATGTTACAAATTTCTAATATAAATTTAATTTATGTTATGCTTATTACTATATTAGTATAGGTTATCTGTTTAATAATATTCATAACATTAATTGATATAATATTTCATATAATAATCATAATTGTCGTAAATTTAAATCATTTCTCAAATTTTCCAGCTGTCCTAAATTTCTTATAAATTTTTATTTTTATTAAAAAAATATTGTAAAAGTTTGAAATTATATTACAGTATCTATCCAAGATATATTTTTTATTGTTATTAAAAGATGTTACGAAGGATTTTAATTTCTCATATGTATCACACAATATAAAGTATATAATAGTATAGTGTATATATAATAGTATAATAGTATAATAGTATAATAGTATAATATAATATAGTATAGTATAGTATAATATAATAGTATAATAGTGTATCAATTTAGAATATTTTTTTTTAGAACGCGGTTGCGATTTAGTAACAACGACGAAAAAAAAGTTTCAAGATATATTTAAGTCTACTATTTATTTAAGTCTAATAAATTCTGTAATGACCACTGCACATGCATGCCATTAGATAAATTCTACAAATGTCCTGCTTTTCTTTCTGTACCGCATCATATTTCCATAATGTCAACGTTACATGCACACGTGTCATACTAACGCAACTGCTATACAAAGTTATAAATTATAAAAAGCCAGTACGCGTGTGTATGCGATATACGCAAACTTTTCTTGCGTCTGTAACTTGATTTTGCTATAAGTTACACAAATCGTGCTATTTTCTTATTAACTTTATCTCCCTTGACCTCAGAACTTTATCTTATGATTACTATCATTGAATTATTACCATTATGAATGTTATTTAATAGTCCCATATCGCAACATCTTGATCGCAATCCTTGATGATCATCGAGATGAGATTCTTTTATTCACATAACTTATACAAGGCTATTTAGAAAAACAGCTAGTACATAATATTCAATATTGATAATGTACATATTAAATCTATTTTGAAGTCTAGATGATTATAGTAGTATGTGATATAAATTTATAAACATGTATATTCTATCTATATAAATTAAATTCACTAAAAATTATCACACTATTAAATAGTATCTACATATAAATCATAGACTACTGATTGTAATTAATCAACAAATTATGATTCAATTTTTTCTTGATAAAAATACGGAGATATAACATTTGAATATTGAATATTAAAAATTTTTACGTGTACAAGATTGCAAAACTTAAGTACATAAATATGCAGATAACGATAGTCTATTTATAATTTAATTTCTGCTTTGATTTAATTTCAGTTGAAAAGTTTATTTCAATTTCATTCCATATAAATAAGATATTTAATTATTAATATAATTTTCGACTGTTTATATCTGTTAATATTTATATTTGTACTTTGTTAATATTTATATTTGTACTTTGTATTTGGATATGTATAAATATAAATGTCATGACGTATAAATAACATCTTACACAAATTACACGAATATATATTAATCTTCAACGTATTAAAGATAATTATGCTTATGTTTCAGAGACTCTCCGGTGGCATCTTCGTCTTTGATCGCCAAACGTTTCGGAGGATGGCGCACCAGTGGAAATCATGAATACGTCAGATGTCCTGTGCGACAACCTGCTTCCATGGACGAACGGTAAAAGACTTTCGTTTTATGATTTAAATGCGTGAAACAATTTATGACAGTTCATGAATCTTCGACATTCTTTGATTCTTAAAAAAAAATTGCAATCGAATTCCTTAATAATGTACTTACGTTTAGTGAACAAATATCTCTTCGATAATTTAAGAACATACCCATGACACATACACATCTGTTGTAAAATGCATTCTCTCATGAATTTATAATAATCGTTCGATATTTATATCTCGAAGTACTTCCCTGAAAGCTATCGGTCATAAATACGTCATCATAGATGACACCGTCTCGTTCTACAAATACCTCTTCCTCTATTAAAGAATAACGACCTGGTGCTAAACCTTATACGAACAAAGATAATATCATTGTATCCATGCACATATAACTATATTCACATTAAACGTGAATTGAATATTTACAAAAGACATTTCAAAAGATAGTATTCTTATGTCAAAGCATAGGACGAAATGATCAATTTCGGATATATAGAAAATTCCAATCGTATTTCTATATCGTCATGAACATATTAACTAAAAAATAGAAAAATCTTGAGATGAAATATCTTGAGATATTTATTTAATATATAATTTCAAACAATTTATTTCAAATAATTTATTCAAATAATTCAAGATTATTTTTTATTTTTTTTTATATTCTTTCTTTTGATTAAATTTTAGCCAAAAAATTAAGACATAGTGTTCTTTAGGAAATGCTAGTCTAAACTCTAAAATAAATTTTAACTCAAATTTTAACTCAGTATCGATTAATTTCGGAAATCTTGCAGGTGTTATCGACGATCATGCGAATTCGAAGCCACTCGTCCGCTTCGATATCATCACTATCACCGACGCACGGACACCGAACGACACTCGAAGAGCTGCGACTATGCAAGGCGAGGAACCATAGACTCAAGTATCGAAGTACAACACTTCGGTTTACCGATTCTCAGCGTAAGTGAGCCAAGTCCACCAGACGAGAGCGAACGCGTCGATGACTATTTGTAGGACTTGCTTGCCGAGGACTTCCTCAAGGAACTCCTCGTGTAATTCACCTGGCCAATCTTCTCATCCCGATCCGATCTCGTCCCTAGTCGCACGGAATGCTGCGAGTTGCGACCACATTACCCGGATATTTTATCCCTCGAACGTTCGTTATATTTCACAAATATAGCAATCGTTCGATAATACACACTACACATTGTTGCGTTCTTCAGGAGATCGTAATCGGAATAAAGTAATCGATAAAGCGAGAGTGAAGATTTCCTGATCGCATGCAATCTCCTCTATCTCTGTTCATTGTAAGCGATATTCTTTCATGCATTATATCATTTTAGAAGAGAGTTCAGAGATCATAAATATATATTTGCTACTTGTCTGATAGAAATCGCGCAGCTACGAGAAATACTCATATTTGATCCGGACTTATTTTTCGGAGTTTTCATGAGTTGGAATAATACAATGTTAATATCAATTATTCCTCGATATAATTTGTGCTCATTCAAATACATGTTTCCAATATTTCTGAGAAATATTCTAATGCATTATATATGCATGTCAAAATATAATGTTCAAATCACTATCTTTTACGCTATAAAAAATATACCGAGAAAAAAATTTAGTCCGGATCAAATTTGACTATCCTTTGTATCATATATTTTTAGGAAATATGTGGTTTGGTGAATAATTTCGTTACTTCGATATCCCTAATATCATTAAATTATATGAATATTAATTTGAAACAATTTGCTCTGTCTTATTTTGGAATCTCAAAAATTATAATCAAATCTACTGCACATTTTTACTCATACAATATCTTAATATCTTGTGAGTCTTTTGGTGTAACGTGCGATTATGAATGCCAGTTTGAGATTATTTATATATATAAGCTTATACAGTTACAATTTTCCTGTACACGAACAAGTGCGTAATGATGTATATATGTTTCCTTTCATTCTCTTCGCACTTCCCTGATTTTCACGTTGCATTTTCTCCTATCTCTGTCCAGAAAACAGCATTTCCTTTTTATGTGCTTGCTATTATCGAAATATGCTATCAAGAATGATATTTTTCAATCTTGATTGCAATTTGAAATTAAATACATGAATCATTTAATGTTAAAGCTATATCGAGATATGTATTAAAAAGGCAGATGGTCATTCTTTAACTATATGTCATTTTTAGAGTTGCTGGTATAAATTTTAACGCGTCTAGATATTTCTGCAGAATGTATAAAAATGTGTCATAAAGTATTTTATTTTACGAGATGTATTTAATAATAATCACAGAGAAAAGCAAATCATTAAATAATATATATATATATATATATATATATATATATATATATATATTGCAATTTAATAAATATGAAACAAGTCTTACCACAATATACATATAAATTATGAGAATATCTATTCAAATTCCGATTTGTACGCGTTTATATAATAATATAGACTACGTTCATAAAAAATGTATATTAATAAAAGTATACATGTGCATCTATATGATATAAAATTAGATGATTTCAAACACTTCGATATTCATAATGTGATTTATGTTATTGTGTGAACTTTATTTTTACAACATATCTTAAATCTATTAAAGATAAATGGCATGATGAAAGCTATACAAAATTGTTAAAAAATATTAAGTGTTTTCATTTGATCGAAGCCTACATGGGCCAAAACGTCTGTAATGTTTACGCACATGTTTAGCCTGTGATAAGCTCGACGAAAAAAATAATTTCAAATTAAATGATTAACTTGATAGAGCATATTACTTGATAGGTTTGATAGGTTTCTCCTTAATGATAAAAATAAATGTGTAGTCCTGCGAGTATCCGAAATTATACGCCTCGACCACTTGCGATTATATCACTGTACAGGAATTATATCATGATATTTATAAGATGTCTTGAATCAGCTGCATATGCAGCTTCTTATATCGTTATAAAAAATACAGTTGGTCAAAAGTAACTCTTATATGTCAGGAGTGATAAAATTTATTTTCACATTACATAATCTCTTCCAAACGACAATTTAAGACTTGCGCGTGCGAAAATTCTAACGCATTGATGCCTGAAAACTCGAATTGTATTCTAATCCTTCGTGACATGTATATGATACATGAGAAAAAAAGATAATGAAGAATAAATATAAGGAAACATTGTTTGGTGATGCTAATGAAATTTACAAATTTATTTCTCAATAACAACTTTATTTTTAAGAAATGTGAAATTTTCTTTACATAATATATCTAATTTCACATATATAATTAGATCAGTTATACATATATATACTGATACGAATTAAGCGAGGATCTAGAAAAGAAAACGCTATTTTCAGGTATCTACGCGATTACAAAATTCTTCAAAAAGCACATAAAAATACAATATGGGACCTAATTGCGGTTGAATTATGAGGTCTCCAAAAGATATTGAGGAGAAAAAATTTGGCAATTGATTTATCGCTTATCAGGGTTCATTATAACGTGGGAACAATATAGATTGTGTAATAATGCGTGCGACAGATTTTCATGCCAGGATAATGCATAATAAGCGCCTTATCATTCAATTAAAAAATTACATATTTTTTTCAATGATAACGATTCATCATTATTACAAAATATGGATCTATTTTGTTGTTGATTTTTCCTCAACTTCATATCAACTAATCGATGTAGAAAGAAGAGGCCATTATAAAAAAATCACAAAAATTAATTCATTACAAAAGAATGTACAACAAAGATATTAACAAAAATATATAGCCAAGTCTATACATTGCTCATTATGCAGATAAAAAGATTTACAAACACATATATACTCATATATACTACATCATACATACACATATATACTCCTTTTTCGAAAAATGATAAAATGAATATTATTTATAATTATAAGAATAAAATGATATTAATTATAGTTTAAAATATTGTCCCAAATAGCAAAAGTAGTCATTTAGATACTATTTGACATCAAAATAATTATTTATGTTACGACATAAAAAATAATTTGATAATTATTGTTCTTTATTTAGAAAATCGAAATATTATTTTAATATGATAATAATATTTCAATATGTTTATATATAAATTTTTAATTTTTAATCATATCATGTGAACTGATTTTCGAATACGCAGTTACAATTTTCTATCATATTTCTATCATATTTCAGATAGAGTTTTTATTCCTATTTATACATATCGTTATAATCTAAAATGTTTTTTATTTTTTAATTTTTTAAAATTTTTGATATCATTATCTGGATAATTTATCAATCGCAAAATTTGGGGACCAATCGAATGAAATCATATATATTTATGGAAAGATAAATTTATTTTTACTGCCATAAATATTTTGCATGATGACAGTTTGACACATTGCATTAATTATAAATTGCAAAAATAATTTTTTCAGACAATGAATCCTTCATGAATATATAATCAATCATCTGAGATATATATAACTAATGATTAATTCTTACTTTTAACTTCTTAATAGTTAAATGGTGGAATTGAACGAATTTAAAATAAAGATAAATATATTTAAAATAAAGATAGATATATTAGAATATACCTACTTAATTAATCTTTTATACATAGTCATATATTCATACATACGTACCCATACACATATATACACACATCCGTACATATATAGATATACATTTTTTTACGATTAATTTATTCATCGTCACATCTGTTAATATTAAATTGAAATTGTTCATTTAATTGTATAAATTCAATCATATCAATAAATTATATAAATTGACAAACTCAAAATAAGAAATATTATTACGTTATAATGTATAAGAATGTTAATACAAGCTTTAATATATTTAAATTGCATTAAAATTGATACAAAAATTTATGTCTAAAATAAATTTTTGAATCAATAACGTAAGTATAATCGAAACTTCTTTTCCGTTATAATATTTACAATTGCATTATTATTTCAGATAAGTTTTGTATAACTTTATCTTTTATATTTTTTTATAGTAATGTAAAAAAATCAGATTAATTAATCTTATTAATAACAATCTTATTAAAATCTTATTAATTAATTTTTGCATTACTACATTTTTTGTATTAATAAATAATGTTATAGTATCTTTTGTTTGTAGAAATAAAATATATATTTCCTTGTTTTTTTCATTGTAACATATCAGAGACATATTTAAGAAATATTTAGAAATTTTATTATAACAAACTAGCCAGAAATTATTCTTGTTATTTCGACACATATGTCATTAAAATAAATTTATTGAAATTAAAAACTTATTCGATTGAATAAATATCAAATCTTAAAAAGATTTTAATATTAATGTAATTTTCTAATATTTTTTGATGCTCTCTAATATATAGTATTCTGAGAAAGTAATCTAGATTGCTTTTAGATCTTGGCGCGAACACTGTCGCACGTATTAAACTATAATGAATGAGTAAATTATATGACAAGCGCATTTATATAACACTTATTATAGCAACTGCTTAAGAAAATCGTCTAGGGATAATGTCTTAGGCCTCTCGCGATCTTTCATTTAATCATGCATTTTCATTATTTCGTTCATCGATAGACCGCGAATAAATGGCTTTTACGTTCCCTTTTAATACGCGTGTAAATATCCACGACCAATGTATTTACATAATGTACTAAAATATGTATAATTAAATTTACATAATGTACTAAAATATGTATAATTAAATTTATATATGGACGATCTTTATATATCTTAAAACACGTTTTAGAATTTAAGATTACAGCTACAACACATTTGATTTTAATTTTACTCGATACTTGCTATCAGATGTCACAATGCGAGTAATATACAATTTTCTTTAATATATTATTCTAAATTACATTATATAAATAACCTTTAGATAAGTTAAATATGATGTGTCGACGGAGGATAATTGTATATTGTCGCAAGAATTGTATACAAAAGATAAAATTTGCATATTAAGCTATTAGTTCGAAAGATCAGGCGAACAGATCTTGTTACTAGTCATTTTTAATTTATAAATCACAATTTTGAAACGTGGAAAATAATAGCAATTTCTAATGTTGCGTAAAAAGAAGCTATTGTTTATAATTGATTATAATTTGCATTGCAGAATCTTTCGCACAAAATTTTGTGTTGAAAAAACAATGTATAGAGCTTATCAAATAAGAAGACTCAGCGGCTCTGAGCTGCTTAAAATTTATCACGAATGTATACATAAAAACATACATATATTTATGTATATTAAAAAATACTTCATATTACAAACTATGGATGAAAGAGTGATGATGTAATTAAATCTTAATCAAACATTTGTTTTTATGGAAAAATATCTAAATATTGAGAGCTCGTGCTGAGATCCATTCGTGTACCGAATTATTTAATTGAGAGTTTACATTTAACGCTTTCCATGTGCTATCAGCTTATTTCTTTTTTCTGTCTCAACTATATATATATATTTTAGTTAATTACAAAATACATACGCGTCCACATACGCGTCCACATACACACACACACACACACACACACACACACACACACACACACACACACACACACACACACACACACACACACACATTAATATATAAAACTCACAACTTGCTTAATATGAAAATATAATGATATTAAGTTATTGGAAACTATTTCAAGATAAAAACTAGTAAATTATGATCTGAATATTTATACTTAAAAATACAAAAATTTTGCAATATTTAATAAAATCAGGTAATGAAATTTCTCGCAATTCTCTAAATCTTTCAAATAATTAAATTTATATTAAAATGCTAAAAAATTTAAAATATATTATTTAATTCACAAAATTACGTTTTATTCAATGCTTCAAAATATCTTAAGATAATTTTTATTTAATATTAAATGTTTAACAATATGTGTGATATCGAATGATATATGTATAATAATATCTAATAAAATAACATAAAATCAAGTATAAGTAATACATTAATGGTAGTTTCTCTTTAAATACTGCTATAAACTTTCTTTTTAATTAAATGCGTATAAAAGATACTTAATAATACAAATGAAATGATAGAGAGTCTATCATTAAACATATTAATGGTTAGTATAGCATATACAGAGATTCTGGAAATAATTTTATAAATATATACATATACAACGAAATATAAATTACTACTCTCAATAAAATATTTAGATAAAAAATTTTTAATAATATATTACTAATAAATGAATAGATTGCAATAGATGATGATGGATCAAAGCATGAGCTACACATACATATGCACGCACATGCACGCGCGTTCGACTGTAAAGAAACTGAAAGATTTCAATTACCTCCAGACATTGATAATTATAGCTTTAAACAAAGAGACCAAATAATTAAAAAAAATCCATATTCTCTTACAAAAAGGGCAGTCTTAGAAAGATCTGAATTAAGCAATTTTACAAAGAAAATATATCCGTCTATTATTATTATAACTTCTATATGTGTGCGTATATGTGCATGTATATATATGTATATATATATATATATATATATATATATATATATATACGCACACGTATACATAATGAGTATATATAAATACATATATATAGATATATGTACTAAAGATATATATACGTATATTTGTATGTAGAAATTAGAATTCTGATCATATTGCTCTAAATTTTGATCAATGATATATCAAATATGTTCGATCGATTAAGGGTGCGAATGAATAAGAACCTCTGTGTATTTTTTTTTTCGTATAGATTCTATCTAATTCCATATAATTGAAACTTTGAATAATGATAAAAAAAATAATGATGAGATATTCTAACAGCAGATAATTTAGCCATCATGTAATTAGAATTTAACCATTATTGAATAAGTATTAATATATGAGTATAGTAACATTATTAATAGTGACTATTCTCAAATAAAAATATTCAAAATAATAAATTTATATTGTATATGAAAAATTAGTTGCGAAATTTTTATATTTCTTACAGAAAAATGAATATCATTTTTTTAGATTTTTAGATTTATATAAAGCTGTTTTCTTAATAAAGTTACACGTTAATTATCCTTTCTCGCAAATTTTTATGTATACATACGCACCCTTTGTCATCGACATGATTTATGTATCTAAAGATCTTAGATCAAATATAACAGAATGTGAGCAACAATGATCACTATGATCATTCACACGATAATGATGCTCCTAAGCTTTTTCTTTCCCTGACGTGCGAAATGATGACAACAAAAATCATGCATAACAAATTATATCTAATTCGATGTATATTTGGATAAATATTTCTATATTCAGCGGGATAATGAAACGAGAATTTTTTTCATTCAGAATCTTGCTTATAATTGACATGAAAAAACAGCATTTCAATGTAATAAACCGCGGAACTACGAATATAGAGTTAAAGTCTGTCAATTCGTGATACATTATCGACATTATAAATTCTAAATCTGTGATTTATCGAATCTCTAATTTTAGGAGATAGCTTAAAGCTTTTGGTAGAATAACAAATGTACGACATATGCAACTTGTACTCTATATACGATATGTACATATATTCTCGGTTCATATCGTATTGTATGCTCCGTTATAATAAAAAAACATCTTAGAGACCCGATTATTAATCCTTAATCAGTATAAGTTATATATTTGATATAGTGAATTCGTGAATTCACAGAATTAATCTTCGAATCTTAACACTACGGTTCTAAAAAAAATCAATTGAATTATTTAATTCTTATATAAAAAGAGACGATTAGAAAAATGAAATATTTTTATAGATCAATACACACGCGCGTTATTTATCTTCATTTTATAATGAATTCATAACAATAAATAATAATTACAATAAATAGAAAACAACCAGTTGATCATTGATTATGCATATTTAATCAATTAGATTTTTTACAATCTCTGATATGAAATAAATATTAATTAAATACTTTAAAAAACAAATATATTTTTAAATTAAAGAAAATAGTAGCACAAGTATATATAATTAATTATTTACAGTAATTAAAGTAATGTATATGCAATGTATAATGTATTAATTAATAAATAATGTATTTGTCGTTGTTACTAATTCGTTTCTAATAACTATATAATCTTATAATTCGTTTCTACGAAGTATCACTTAAAAAGAATTCATTATGTGCTGATTAAGGATTAAAATATATTTTTTCAAACTATTGTAATTAAAAGTGTGAATGTGCATACGCGATTTCAACATTACTCACATAAGAGAATGAAAGACACGATATGCTAACGGAGAGAGAAACATTTTATTTACATTAAAAACTTTATAGCCGATCTTTCTTGTAGATAACCGAAGTGGGAACTAATTTTTATTGAATAAAGTCTATTACACACCTATACCAAGTTCATTTAATTAAAGATTAAGAGAAAATATACCTCAGATTTATGTTTTTAACATTCAAATATTAAGTACATCGATCCTATCATTAATATAAGATTTTTTCATATTATTATAATATTATTGTATTCAGTCAATCATCATTTTCATATTTAATCATCATTTTCATATTCAATCATTTTTTATAATGATATTTTTATGTAATTTTTAAAATTTTGATTATTTTATTATACCAAATTATTTTTTTTATTATTTAAGCAGTTGTAAAATAATATTCGACGAATCTGTTCGGTTTCTGCAGCCAATTTGTTGCGATACTTTAATAATAAAATATACAATATATATATATATATATATATATATATATATATATATATTCCACTTTTTTTAATCATGTTCACCAGCATTTTCGCTGTTAAGAACTTTTGTAAGGAGTATAAAATTTTGCATAAAATCTACTCTCAAATTAACTGTCAAAATGATCAGCAAGATTTCTCACACGCTATACATTCAAATATTGACATTATTGATTATAGTCTCAAGTCTTATACATAAATAAATATAATACTTCGAAAAAAGTGTAAACAATTTTTGATATTATTTCTATTGACTTCAAGGACGCATCTCGAATAACGGATGATTGAGACCAAATATATGAACAGTAAAAATTAAAAATCTTGTGATTATCATAAAAGAATGCAACAAGATGTCAAGCGAAACTGAAACCAGTTTTACGTTTATCATTGTAGCTGGTATGTAATTGATTGGCATGGATATTCTTTTTATAACATACATTTAAAAAAATATACTAATAAAATTTATATTAATACAAAATTCTAAGGAAATATTTCAGTAAAAATGCATGTTTAGAAATTAAATGTAATTATATCTTACGTGTGTGTGTGTGTGTGTGTGTGTGTGTCTTGAATTAATAATAGTAAATCACTTATATATAAAGCCCTTTTATCATATATTTTTTTATATGTTAATAATTCTATTATAATTGTTAATACAGTAGGTATAAAAAAAAAATTAGAAAACTATGTCGACTTAATGAAAAACATGATACTCGAAACGGAGAAAACGATGAAAAAGCACATAAGAATTTATTACATACGATGTGTTCTAAACGAAATACAACTAATTATAGAAGTAATTATTACATATTATAAAGATATTTCAAATACTTTTTTTGTATTATTAATATTATAATTTTTTACATTGATATGTCTTATAGACATATTTAAAACGATTGTACGATAGAAATGAAGTAAACATTATTATCTTCATTGGTGATAATAAAGATAGGGAAAACGAAATATTGTCTATGGCAACTAAAAGAATTATCAGTACGGTTTATCATAAAAAAATAACATCACTTATTTCATATCTAAATCAAAAATTAAAAGAAACGATTCCTCAGTAAGATTTTATTTTTATTTATTTAACAGTTTATTAAAATTAACAACATTTACAAGTATCTTATTCTCAGAGCTGTATGTGGAATACAAAATAACAATACAAATAACACACTTATCTTTAATATATTTGGCAAATGTATGGACGCAATAATATTTTGGTCAACAAATAAAGAAAAACTATTTGATTTATTCAAGATAGTGCAAGACTTTGCATCTACTAATTATCGGCCTTCTGTATGCAATACACCTAATAATTTTTCCTTGGTAAAGTATATTTTTCATTGAATTAAGTAAAAATTTCATGAAATTTTCTATTGCAATTAAAAATCTTTTTATAGGAAAAAATCAAGAATATAAAAGAATATAAGAAAACTCCTGTTGTTACTGTGTCAGAAGCAATAAAAATAATAGGTGATATAGTATCTCGAAACTCGCCCATAAACTTTGAATATGTAAATGTACTTAATGCTTATGACAGAATATTATCAGAAGATGTAAAGTCCAGATGTAACATACCATCATTTAGAACTTCTGCTAAACATGGATATGCAATTATAGTAAATGATGGAAAAAATAAAAAGAAGATACTAGAAGCAGGAAGTACAGTATGTAATACTAAGTATTCTATATATATATATATATATATATCATAAATTAGAATTATAAAATAAATGTTTCAGTTCTCATTAAAACCTGGTACATGTGTTAAGGTACAATCTGGAGCATCTATTCCCGATGGTAAACATTATAACTACATATTATGCCTTTATATGTTTACAATAAAAAATTAATAATTCTTTTTCTAATTGATTGTAGAAGCAACAGCAGTTGTAAAAATTAAAAATATAAAGACAATATCAAAAAATGATGACGATGATGACTACAATATTGATATCGAAAAAAATGAAGAAAAAATCGAAATAGTAATAGAACCAAAGGAAGGGGAAAATATTAGGTATAGAGTTTAATATATTTTAACATATTTTTAAAATACATTTTGCCATCAGATAGATTTATCTGTCTAATTATTTGTTTACGTATTTCTGAGAAGGCCTATTGGTCATGAGATAAAGATAGGAGAAAAAATTTTGAACAAACACACACGTATTGGACCAGCAGAAATGGGATTGTTGACATATTTTCGTATCTATTATGTTCAAGTCATCAAATATCCATCTATAGGTATATTATCCATTGGAGATGAATTACAAGAACTTGGGGAGATTTTAAGAGCAAAACATAACTATGATAGTAACAAATTAATTTTAACCATATTATTAAAACAGGAAGGTTTCAATAATGTTTTGGATTTCGGGATTGCAAATGATAAGTGAGTATATTGAAATTTATTTTAATTTTTAATATACATTGTAATATATTTCATCGGATTAGGAATAATAAATTATGTAATTTAATAACAATATTTAATAAAATAAATATTTTCGCAGTATAATAAGCATACATAACAAAATCAAGGAAAATTTAAAAAAAGTAAATGTAGTTGTGACTATAGGTTCTGCGAATGATAGAGATTTATTGAAGCCCATTTTACAAGAATATTTTAATGCCACTATACATTTTGGTAATTGTTTTTCTTTTTATTAATTATCATTTTATTAATTATCATTAATATCCCTATCCTTCATTTTATTAATTATCATTAATATCCCTATAAGACAATATTCCTAAAATATTGTATAAATATTATTAACAATTAATAATATTTATACAATATCCTAGGAATATTGTGTGCTTATAAGGATATTAAGAGATATTTTTTAGAATATTTTATCTCCTCCTCCCTTTCAGGTAACATAGATATGAAACCCGGAAAATCAACGACATATGCAACGTGCATGTTCGAATCTACAAGGAAACATTTTTTATGTTTGTCCAAAAATTCGGCAGTCATTCCTATCGCTACACATTTATTCCTTTTACCTCTTGTGAATGAACTATGTTGCTTTAACAAGGAGCGGTTCTCAGTATTAGCTCGCGTAAGATTGTCTTCATACACTTTGAAATGAAAGGAGACATGTAACATATGTATATTGCTATGATATTGTTATAATGTTATAGATACGATTAGCGCCCGATTTGCATCCGCGCCCTAAATATATTTGGACAGCTTTAAAATGGAAGAAGGATACGTATCCATGGATTCTCAATATGGCAAATCATTATATTAATAACTCTACTAATGCACTTTTAAGATTGCCACCGCGTACAGTGGATATGTCAAAATTATTACCTGATGCACTTATAGCAACGATGCTTATTGGCTCAAAATAATTCTACCAAGATATTTTTCGACTTCATTTGCAAATTTACGTACATTTTTACTTGGAATATATATTTTTTAAAGTTTGAATAGAATAGTTATTATTATTATTATAAAAAAATTCGTACGCGTAAGATATTTGATAAAAAATTGAATATGTAGCATATGGTTTCCTAAATATGTATAAAATTTAAAGTAAATTTAAAGTATATAAATGTTCAACGTTTTGCGAATTAATTCATCATTTTCATATTTTATTATTGATGGTTTCTTCCACATTCCTACTTATACTTTTTTTACTTTATTCCTACTTCTTTTAATTTCCATGAATTGATTAGATTTTATTTAATTTCTACTATAAATGTGTCGATTCAATACGATGTGACAATTCAATAAGATTAGATTTTTATATAGATTATCATATGTGTCGTATTTTTGATAACAAAACTTCCAAGGTAGCAAGATGACGTCTTCAGACGTTTTAATGATACGTACAATGACGTCATTAAAACGTTATTAAGATGTCATTTGACGTCACTCTGCTACCTGGATTATAATAGATATTTTGTAAAATTTGCTTTTGATAAAATTAAATATAAGATTCATGAGTGAATAATCTGCTGCATTCGAAATAATTTTGATATTGAAAAACCTTTGAAAAAATAAAAATAAACAATGTCTGGTCGATACATTACGACTTCTATCGACTATTTTAAAGCTAGGCCAAATAAACTCAGGCGAAACAAATGTTTGAAATCAAACACATGCGACCGGAACAGTTAAAATCTTGTAGTGCGACTATTATATTCGAACAAAAAAGATATTAAAAGCAGCTGAAATGTTTTTTACATTCCATATTGTAGCTGGTATGTACCGTGACATATATTTTTCTTACGGAATATATATATTGTATATATTTAAAATTATATTAATTATGTATATATTAAAAATATATATTTTTTAATAAAATTCATTTTAAAATAATTAAAAGATACTTTAATCGTATACACGTTAAAAATGTATGATTACACGTTTTTCTTTAAACATAAAATATTAATAATTTTAATAAATAGTATTAATAGTAGTTTTATCACATGTTTTTCTTATATAAATTCTTCTTATAATAATATTAAATATTATAATTATTTATATAGTACACGAATCAGAAGATGTCTTCTGTATCTCTTCAAAAAAGAAAAAAAAAGAGGAAATATCAAACATAGATAATATCACATATTTGCCAAATAATAAAGATAAACTAATGGTAACTATAAATATTTTAAATAGTTTTTTTATATTCTTATATTGTTATATTATAATTTATCATATTATATTGTTATATTATAATTTATCATATTTATATAATGCAGAAATGTTTAATTTCCTTATGTGATACAAATAAATATAATGTTATTATCGTCACTAGTAAGTCTGCCATTATGTTTGATGTGACTCAAAAAATTATCAATAAAAATATTTCCACAAACATTGTAACATTTGTGTCAAAACTAGAACAGAAATTAAATCTTTTATTTCATGGGTAAAGTTTTATTTTTATTTATCTTATAATTTTTGAAATTATAAAGCACTATAAGTATAATTTTTAGAGCTGTATGTGGAATACGAAATGAAACGCTTATCATTAATATACATGGCTCAGAAGAAGATGCAGTAACATGTATAACAACATATGAAAAAATGATAGACCAAATAATAGAATTAATTATACCCCATCTATCATATAGTCTATATCGGGACGAACCGATGACAACCGATACCACTGAATTGAAATCTTTAACAGAAGTATGTCAAAAAAATGTATTCTGTGATAAATACAATAAAGTAATAGTTTCATAGAATTATAATGTGTGTGACAGAAATTTAAGAGAATTGATAGAAATTATATTAATAATTTATTACAAAATATTAAATTTAATAAAATTATTAACAATTTAATTTTATAGAATTTGATTATATATAATTCAAATATAATTAAAATGTATTATACAAAATGATATAAAAATGCAGCTAGTTTTTTTCAGCAGAAAATCTGATGTGTTTTAGGTAACAGATGCACAGAAGATAATACGTGATGGGATAATGATTCAAAGCAATGAGAAAATAGCATCTAAATGTGTGAGATTACATGATGCCTATGGCAAAATATTATTAACAGATATATATGCCAAATGTAACGTGCCATCATTTAAAACTTCTGCTATTAATGGATTCGCCGTAAAGGCAAATGATAAAAAAAACAGAAAGAAGATATTAGAAGCAGGATCTACAGTAAGTGATATAATAATTGTGGATATATCTTTACATGTATCAATAACTGGAGCTATAAGACAAGACTGTTTTAGTTTCTGGAACCTGGCACATGTGTACGAGTAAAAACTGGAGCATTTATTCCTGATGGTAAATAATTTTAATTGTAAATTACACTTATACATCTGATTACGATAAAAAATTAACAATCCTTTATTTGACTGCAGAGGCAACAGCAGTTATAAAAATTAAAAATACAGAAATAGTATCTAATAATAACACCTGGGAAGAAATCGAAATAATAATTCAGCCAAAAGAAGGAGAAAATATTAAGTACGTGATTAATACGTTTTAACATATTTTTAAGGTACATTTTATTATCAGATAAACTTATTCTAATAATTTATTTACATATTTTTGAAGACCTATTGGTTGCGAGATAAAGATGGGAAACAAAATTTTGGGTGAACATACATATATTGGACTAGCAGAGATAGAACTTTTGGCATCTTGTGGTATCAATGAAGTTGAAATCATCGAATCTCAGACTGTAGGTATATTGTCCATTAAAAATGAGATTAGAAAAGGAGAATCTGAAAATACTTTAAAACACATCTATGATGGCAATAAACTAACTCTAATTACGTTATTAAAGCAGAAGGATTTCGATACTTTGGATTTTGGAATTGTGGATGCTGAGTGAGTATAAAGAAATCTATTGATTGATTTTATGATTCCTAATACATACATTATTTTGCAAACTTCCTCACTAATTTACAAATAATTTTGCAGTATTTTATCACATTACTTTATTATGCAATCATATAATTATATAAATTAGCATAAATAAAGCATTATATTGATAATAAATTATTATAATAGTTAATAAAATAATATTTTCGCAGCATGCTAAAAATGTCAATAAAAGTTCAGGAAGCTTTAAAAGACGTGAATATACTTGTAATAACAGGTTTTGCAAATGGGAGAGATCAATTGAAAACAATTTTACAAAACAATTTTAATGCTAATATATATTTTGGTATTTTTTTATAATTATCAGTATTAGTACATTAAAAAATACTTTTCTTAAAGTTATTATATGTTGTTCCATAGATAGAGTGAATATGAAACCTGGCAAATCAACAACATATGGAACATGCATGTTAGGTGGAAAACAAAAGCATATCTTATATTTATCGGGAAACTCGGCAACTATTCTCATTACTGCACATTTATTTCTTTTACCTCTTTTGAATAAAATGCACTACAATGACATGGAAGTGCCTGTCATACATGCTCATGTAAGATTATCTTTAATTACTTAAAATAAAAGAGAAAAATAATACACAACATATATAAATCTAATATTGTTTTATTGTCGCAGGTAATGGATGAATATAAGAAGTATTCGCGTCCTAATTATATATGGACACATTTAAAATGGGATAAAGAAGAAACATTTGCAAGAGTTTCCAACACATATGCAAATAATAATCTACTTAGAGCTCATAATGCTAATGCACTCTTAATAGTACCGGCAGCGTCTGGTTCGGACAAATCACTCTCACCAGGCACATTAACACCAGTGTTATTTCTTGGCTCTAAATCGTTCTGTCAAAATATTCCTAATTGAATCCAACGAAAGAAAATAATTACATATAGAATAGGAGTTCATACATATAAGATATTTATAATAGGTAACAAAAAATAAATATATAACATTATTTCATATTACATTTTTAAATTGATTGTGAATTCTTTTATAGTATAAGAATATTTATTACAAGAATATATTTATCATTTTTTCTTTAGCATTTCACGACTTATCTTAGTAATATGCGTTTTCAAATTAAATTTTTATTAAATATCTTTTTAAGTAAATGTGCGTGTGTGAATAATATTATGTTATCTATATTTTTTTATTCCTGAAATTTATATTATTCACAAGTACAGTAGTTTGAAACGATTTGTATCTTCAAAAAGCTATATCGTATATTATATTGTTTCCACACTTTTGTTAATAAAAATCAATTTAAAAAAAAATTTAATTTCAGAAAAAATGGCACTACATGTCTTTTACTAAATACAATTAATTTTTTTTTAAATTTCATAAAACATTGTATTATAATTTTAATATATACCACTTTAATATATACTGTATTATAATTCCTATTTGTATATCATTTTTTGTATATCATATGAAGATATTTGATATAAGTTTAAAATATTATGATTTTATTTGAATAATTGCATAAATATATGATTTTATTTGAATAATTGCATTATTTTAAATAATAGTTACTCTTTGTGTGTGTGTGTGTGTGTGTGTGTGTGTGGTTGTGTGTGTGATTGAATGTACAAATCATAAAATTTGTAATCAGTCAATAATTCAATAATTGAAATCAAGTCACTGATTATTGTAAATAATTAGCAAATCTAGTCATCTACAAAAATTTCTAATAATTAAAATTAAATCATTAGTAGATTAAAGAGAAATTCAAAATGTATAATACTATTGTTTATCTAAAAATTAAATAAACTAAATTTTACTAATATCAAAAATATATATTTATAAACATATGTATCAAATATATTATCATATAATTTAAGATATGAGAAATATCTATATGTATTTATCAATAAATAATAGATTTATTGTAAGAACTATATAAATATATTTCTAATTCATATATATAATTATTTTTTTGATATTTTATTTCTTATACTTGTTTCGTATTATAATATTAAAATTAACATTATTTTATTTGTATTTATATTTAATAAAATTTTGTATACATTGTTTATATAAAATTAAGTGTTTGGACAATTAATTTACACACTTTGTAGAGAAATGACTATCTAAAAATAGTGAATTACAAAAATTTGAAAAAAAAAGTTTAAATTCCTTATACAAATTTTTGTACCAGATTATAATTTGTACATTACATTCGTCGAACAGTTGTCCTTATTATTAGTTTTTCAAATATCATTCAAAAAATAAATAGAAAATGAATATTTTTCTATATTTTAATTTTTTGAAAATAATTAAATCTATTTTTTGAATATTTATATAAGTCTATTCTTATAAAGAAAGTATCTTCATAGTGTAAATTTTATCCACATATAAATGTAAATTTTCTATATAGGTGATGTGATAAAATTTATTCAAGCAGTTATATTATTAACTTTCTATTAATTTTAATGATATTTTTAAAATAAATATTTGCATGTAGTTATATAATCTTTTTTTATTTTGAAATCTAAGAAAACATTAAAAGCAATTATATAATATGTAAATAAGTTTTACTCATTGTTATCAACTTAACAGATTAAACAGACTGTTAACAGACTGAAAAATAACAATCTAATAAGGACATGTCTAAAATTATTCATATATTACTTATTTAAGACTAATGATACATTGCAGTTGCAAAGTAATATAAAAGTAATTGGTGTCTAATGTAATATTTGATCACTGCATACAAATAGAGCAATGCTTTCACATATGGCAATAATATTATTATGCTTATATGATAATACATATTGCTAATTACAAAATTGAATTAGATTTAATATTAAACCTAAAATCTATGTTATATGTTTTGCATTGAGTTATATTTAATTAATTTACATAATTTATATAATATATAAGTATAAAAACAGACAGTAGGAATACATACATAATAATTATATATATATTTATTAATAAATGGAAATAAAAATCTGCTTCACCATTTTAATTATTCATAATAAGAATTATATATGTCAATCCTATAAACGTGCATTTTTTATGCATGTTTATATCTCCCGAAATACCATTCCAAAAACCACATAAATTTATTACACGAACCATTTTTTCTTTACATAAAAAAGATTTAAATCATGTGAAACTAATCATATTTGTATAAGCTAGAATAAACTATATATATCACAATCTATATACCTAATCAATTTATGCCAATTCTAAAAATTAAAAATGATAAAAATCACATTTGCTATGAATTAGTTAGTTAGAATTTGATAGATTTATTTTTAATCAAAATGTTTTCACAAGATTTTACTTTTTGTTTTTGGAGAGTACTATAAATGTACTTCAGTAATTATATGTACATACTTAATATGATCTTCCAAAGTATGTACGTGTAGTAGTATGTAGAGTAGAAGTAGTATTTACATTGTAAATATATCTAATCTTATGATAGTTTTAATATTTAAAAAATTGTAAATTTTACAAGTTTGCTAAATAAAAACAGGAAAAACAAATGCAACATATTTATGCAAACTAAAAACTGACGAATTAACTATATTGAAGTATCAAAATTAATATCTTAAGCAAACTTTAAATATCAATAATTTGGAAGATGAATTTAAAAAATGTATAAATTCTACATTTTTGGAAAAAAATTTCCAGTCTCATATATGTTTTTATAACATAATTAATTGTCTCAAAAGTCTTTACTGAGACTAAAGAAATCAGAAATTGGTGTTTATTGTTTCTTCAAGTTCTTATATCCTTAGTGGACTCATATGTACTACAAAATTGCACATATAACTATATAAGTCTATAATATAAATTTTATACATTTTTTCACAGCCAAATTGTGAAAATATATAATCTGCAAGATAATATTAGCATGTTGTACATCTCACATATATTTTGAATGTAATTTCACAACTCTGTTTCCAAAAAAATGCATTTCAAAAAATTTTTTATGCTGCTACACTTATATACAATGTCTATATACAAATCGTGAATGTGTATAGTAACAATTATTACATATATTTTTGTTCAATATATCCCTTCACAATATAATTAATTTTTATTACTGTTATATATTTTTCTGATCAGTATTTGTCAATAATGTATTTGAATGAGTATTATTCTTCTCCTCTATGACTCCATAAATCTTGCTATTAATACTGCATGTACTTTCATTTAATGAATCTTGACTGGAGCAAATATCGTCAGTTTCCAAATTTACTGAATTATTCGATATTTGACTTAGATCTGTATTTTCTGTCTCCAAACTTATATCTACACAAGTCTCATCACTTTTAGACTCTTGACTGCACCGTGAATCATCCAAATTTATATCTTTTGAAAATTTGCTTTCAGATTTTTCTACAAAATCATTATTTGTCAATTTTAAACTATATAGAGATTTATTCTTAGATATCTCACTTTTGTTTATTTCTTTTGTATTAAATTTTTTGACTAGATCTTCCCAAGGGTCTTCTAAAAAGGAATTTATATCTATGTATGCTGATATGTTTATTTGCTTATGTATTCCTTTATAACCCTAAAAATAAATATAAAATAACATTCATAACTCGTAATAATTATTAAACACACTAATCGCATATATATGTATATTGCATATATATCACATTGTATGAAACACAATCCATCGTTCAACGAAATCTTTTTGATCTATCAAAAATTTCACCTTTCTTTTTTGCCCATGAAACTGATTGCCAGAATGCTTGTAAGTAGAATACCGATTATTAGAATTTACTCTTGAAGTAGCATGATAGTTATTCCTCTGATTATACCACCCGCTACCTGGACTGGCGCTATTACGTCCATTCGCAGGGCTACACCGATTAGTATTGTGCTTTTCGTGCGGTGTCACCGGCGTGCTAACATTTAGAGGAATAAAATTATCCCCGCAAGGCTGTAGATCATTGTTCGGAGAAAAACGCTGATAACTATTATTAATAGATTGATAACCTCTATTGTTCGCGTTTTCGTATTGTAATTTCCAATTGTACGGCGTATGCCTTGCACCGTATGTCCGATTACCATGTGGAGTATTTAATGGTGATCTCTTCATCTTTGGAAATTAATGTATTAATTGTAACACGTGGTAATTATATACGATGAACGAATATAATGTACGACTATTTACAACGAAAGCAATATGAAGTACAATGTTAATAACAGTCATAAACAAAATGAAATATAGCGATGTCGCCTTTCATGGCAGTGCCTCGTTTGATCACGTTGCGATTGACCACAGCCAATTATATCGACCTGTGCCTAGGGTAACCAGCAACGATTAACCAATCAGAGAGTCCTATTTTGAATTGGCCAATTGGCGACGTGGTCAATCGGGTGCCACCCCATCTCTCAGTCTTCTCTCTGCTTAGGGCTTAAACTACCTATTGTAAATCGAGACTGAAGCGGGGGAGAAAGAGGTGGCGGGGACTGCCGCACGGTTGGCAGCCCTGTTCCCACAACGAACGAGCATAGCAGCGGCGTCGTGTACTACGTGCGAGCCATTTTTTTTAACGTAAGTTACGGGAGCGTCGTGCTGTTCCATTCAGAGTGAGCGGAGATACAATACGATCGCGTATAACGAGTAATAGCTTCTGCACGTTGCTCTATTTATTTCAGTTCCTTTCTGTCTTTTTTCCGCATTATCAATGGACACGTCCGTCGGTTACCATGCTACCTCGGAGACGTCGACGGCTGGAACGGTAATATCATTTCTGTAAATTCTCCTTTCCTCCTCTTTCTCCATCCCTTCCATCCCTTAATTCTCTTCCTTGCGAGGAATTAAATTGATCTTGTCGCGTCGGCGATCGCAAATAATATATCATTTCTGTAAACTTTCCCTTTCTTTCTCTCCCCATCTCCTTTCTCTCTCTCTCTCTTTCTTTTTCTCTCTCTCTGTCTCTATAGGATAAACCGAGAAGTACGTGATTGCACCGCGTCGTTCGCGTGAAAGCCTCGAGGGGGATCAATAAATTGAATGATCGGGGTCATCCAACGACGCGAGCAATCGGGATCGGTAACTTTTTTTACAGACAACGGTTGGCAATACTTCCTACTTGGCTAAAGCCGTTCGCTCTCGTACGAGAATACATCAAGTGGACTCGACTTTGACCGCCATTTCGCATCTCTTTTCTTCGTCGCGAGACTCGTTACTTTCTTTCCCTCTCCCTTTTGTTTTCGATTTAATTCGCAAAAACGGCGCACTTACACGTAAGTAATACCGTCGATTGCGACGCGAATCGAGGACGAAGATCGGCGCCGATAGATCTCTGGGAAAGCCATCGGCGGGACCGGTCATGTTTTCTCGTATTAGATAGGAATCCTTTGTTTCACACGTGTACGTGATATGCTGTTGTATAATATGATCGCCGATCTTCTCTCGATAAAGATCAATTGTCCGATGATGCCTGCAATTTCCCGACCTTCGGCGACAAAATCGAGGTGCGGTCGATATGGCCTTGAAAAAGCCTTCGTCTCCTATTTGTATTTATTCTCTAACCCTCTCTTTCCTAGTTTAATCCATATCTTTTATGTTTAAAATTGAAAGATAATGTGAACATCTTTAATGATATCTTGGAGATACTTATTTTTGCACGAACAATTGTACTATATTATATTGATAAAATATCTATTGTTATATAATATAAAAATATAGCAGAAAACTTGATTTATATAGCACATATACTTATAAATAATACCGAGCTAAATTATAAAAAGTATATATTTTACATAATAAGAAATTTCTATATTAGATAATTCTCTTATTATTCACATTGCAAGTTATGAAAAATCTATTTGAGATAAATTAAAATTCAGAAATTATTTAATACCTGTATTTATGAAATAGTAATCTTGATGAATTATGTTTTCAGAAGATGGTTTCATCTAATCAGCCGGTAAGATCATATACAGATATTTTTCTTATTTAATTAATTACTGTATATTATAAAGAATTTTGCTAAGATATAAAAAAGATTGAGGATCTTTGTTCATTTTGCAGCATAATATTTTAATATATTAATTATATAATGATGTAATATGCTCAGCAAGTTTTACATTATTATAATTTCATATATTTTGTAAAATGTTGAAAGAAAACTGAGCAATAATAATTCTCAAACAGACACCATACTTTTTGCATTTCTTTAGATGTATGGTCAATTTTTGAGATACAATTATTATTAAATTATATTCTTATCAAGATTGTCCTAATATTTTATTTATATTAAGGCCACTTTAGACAATCTACAATTTACAATAAAAATTAAGACAAATGTTTATTTAAATTATATAAATTTTAAATTTATGTGTTAAAAACATTTGACTATATAAAATATAAACTAATATATATCAAGATATATGTATATATATATATATATATATATATATATGTATATGTATATATTAAAAAATATGTATAGAATTATAAATAAAATTTTATCTTGAATTTTGTTGCAAATTATAGATAATCTAAAAAGGCCTGAAAATATATTATCAGTGTTAATTTAATTATTATAAAATTATTTAAAAAACTAAGAGAAGAGAGTAATAATTGTTTTTATATTTTGTAGCGGAAAACAAAAATATTTGTGGGGCGGTTGCCAGAAAATTGTCGCAACGATGAATTGCGGCAATTGTTCTTGCGCTTTGGTGAGGTGACAGAATGTGATGTTATGAATCGATACGGTTTCGTCCACATGGCACGAGAAGAGGATGCAGCTGCGGCAATTAAGGCACTTCATAATTCCAACTTCAAAGGAGCGACGATCAACGTGGAACAGTCAACCGGGAAGTCACGCGGAGGTGGAGGAGGACGCCGAGATGACCGAAGAGGTGGACCAATGAGAGGTGGTAGGGGGGGACGAGACGGTGGTAGAGACGCTCGTCCTGGACCATACAATGATAGAAGAGGTTGGTATAGTTTGCACATCATTATCTGTAAATTCCGACAAGACTATTTTCTCATTTAATTTTCCTCGAGTATATATATATATATATATATATATATATATATATATATATATATGTATGTATGTATGTATGTATGTATATTTGCCCTATGTATATATGTGTCATATTTACATATAGTCAAATTTTTTATTTTTTTCTGTCAGTTCTGTTATCTCTTTCCTATCTTCCCTATATTAATAAATATTAAAGAGTAGGATTTCCTTTGTTAAATCGATTTGTAAATTTCTGCGAACGATATAACATTCTATATTACAGAGCGCATTGAGAAAATAGTATGTTGGAATGAAATTAGAGTATAATTTTAATAATGTACATTTAAAAACCAATTCGATATCTCAACGTGCTTTGCAGTTCTTCCGATCCAACTCGTTGGTTACGATGGATCTGCTGCAGGTGGCGTCGCGACCGGGTACACCGATTACAATCGTGGAGCTGGCGACTTTAGCGGCCGTGGGGCGGACTTTGGTACTGGCTATGCTGACCGTGGGGCTTATGGTCAGAACGTGGGTGGCGCGGCGATGGGTTACACCTCGACGGCGCCAGGAATGGGTGGCGGATATGGACCAGCTGCCGGTGCCGTAGGAGGATATGGACCGACTGGTGCAGCGGATTATGGACGAACGGCTGATTATGGTCGTGCCGACTTTGGTGCTAGAACAGACTATGGTAATCAAGGTGGTGAGTGGTGTTTGTCCAACTTTGAAAGTATGTGAGAATCGGCGTCATATGATTATATAATCTATATCACGTATGGACCAACTGCATAAAAATTAAGGCATTAAGACGAGAAAAAATTTTTGGCTTTTAATATTATCATTATATAGTACGTTATAAATATAGAAAAGTGTACAAAGCTTTTTCAAGAATATCTTATACTTTTGAATCTCTTGAATTTAAAGAAAATATCTCTAATCTCTATCCTAAATTTACTTGCATGATATTTATACATCACATCTTTCAGTTAAAATATTCTATATTTTTTATTTAATATATATATATATATATATATATATATATATATATATATATTCATCTATTGAGTTTTTAGTTCTTGACGATAAAATCTTGTGAAATATATGAGCTCAAAGAAACACACAAACTTTCCAAGTGAAACAAACGTGAGATATAAAAATAATCCAAAATCTTAATACCTTTATTGTTTACAGTAGTTGGTGGTGGTATGGCCGGAGATTTCAATCGTGGTGCACCTGGTCCAGTAGATTATGGTCGTACCGATAATTTTGGTGCCAGTCGCACAGTCGATTACACAGCTAGAAATGATTATGACCGAAGTGCAACTGGACCAATGAGAAACGGTGGTGGTGCCGTTGCCACTACTGGATATGGAACTGGGTACACTGATGTGGGATATGATGAGAGTCACTGGTAAAGTAGTTTCTATAGTTTATTTTTTTTCTCTTAAATTAATCTTCGAGATTTTTTGAATCTCATTCTGATTTCTTGAGTTTTTTCTCAAGCCAAAGAAGATTCGTAGATATTTATCTGTAGTTATTATATTTACATGTGCTTACATGCTATTACATCTTCAAGTGTTGATATATCTTTTTATCCTATGTAGTGAAGTTCGTAATTTATATACTTTGCAAAAATCGTAAATGCCTAAAGCTCTCTTTGGTTTGAGATATTATTTTGCATAATGCAACATTATTTTTTAATTATAATATGTAACATATATTTAATTAGATTTTAAAGAGATGGGAATTGTATATAATTGCAATTTTATTCATGATTTATGAAATATTTTCCAAATATGAGATTTAATTGAATTTATTAATAATTTAGTGCAGTGAAATGTAGATCATTCAATTATTTATCAATTTACACATCTTTTGTTATCATTAAATATACTTTCAAGATCCATGAAATTAAAGTAATCTATAATTATAAGAATCATCTACATTGCATTGTATGACTATCTTTTTTCATTACAACAGCTTTATTACACATATGTAAGAAAACTTTTCTTATTATACACATGCTTTGTGAATGTCTGCACTGAAAATTATTATTCTTCTTATTAAACTTAATTAAAATTTTAATTAAAGTAGATTCGATTATAATAAGTTTAAGCTTAGGAGCCTGTTAAATGGGAATATTCCTCCTGAGAATTTTCAGTGTAAACATTAAATTCGCTAGAAATATGGGTACATTTAAAATTGAGAAAATGACAGTTTATAAAGAATTTGTACAATTCATAAGCAGCTTTTACAAAATTTTCTTAAACTGTTATTAGGCTTTATTTTTATTCTAACCAAAGCGATTAAGCGACATATTGCAGCAATGCTTATGTAGCAATGTAGTAATATTTTAAATGTCGCCTAGGGTAGAGTGAAAATAAGTTAATAAAGTTAAATTATGCACAACAGGGGTTATCCGGGCGGGCCAGGGGATATGATGGGTGGGCCTGGGGGGGTAAGTCAGGGAGCTGCAATGGTCTACGAAAGGAGAGATGGTCCTTCTGGTAATGATATACCTCCATTTAACAGGCCCATGAGCACTGGACCTAGCTACAGCACTGGAGCACCTAGCTACAGCACTGGTCCAGGACCACAAGCTGATATGTTTAGTAGAAGACCTGGCAGTGCCGTACCCAGTGGTGGATATCCACCAGTAGCTGGCGGGTAAGTAAATCACGACGGATTGTTGAAAGAAAATGTTTATCTTCCACATACGGCTAATATATGCTTTCTCTATCATATTGTAGTTATGCCGAGGGATATGACAGACCAGATGCATATGGTCCTCCACGTGGCGGCGGACGGTAAGTTGCACTTTATTAAATTATCACTTTCATATATTTCATCAAAGCTGCGACTATGAAAGTAACACACTAAACACATGTTGATGTTGAAAAGCGAAGGGAATCTATATGCGTATGCTTATCAATCTAAGCGTATCCACTCTTTGCGTTACATATGCCTCTCTCGTTCTTATCTCGATTATGTCGATGTGTAACACATATGCAGTTTCTATGCGAATCGACACAGGTTAAATATTTCTGTAAAAGTATAAGGTGTGACACTTAGCGCGACACTCGCATACATATACGGAAATGTACCTTTATCGTGTACATGTTATTTTGCGTAAACAAATCGTTGCTTCTATCAGTACACGTGTACAAGAAGCCGACGTTTTTTATCTTATGAGTGTAAAAGAGAACAGAGGCTGAAAATCACCTATGGCTAAAGATTTTAATGGCTGTTTATAATTAATGATGTGCATACACTATCATATATTTAATTTTTATATATTTGTACCAAATTTTCTAAATTTATCTTATTAATTATAATATGTTTTGAATTAAATATATAAACTAAATATTGTGATAACTCTTGTGAAATGATAAAAGAAATTATTTAAAAAATAATATGTACTTGAGAAAAATACTGATTTTCGTGAATATACATTTTCTAAAATTTTCTGTAAATTAAACTAATTTCTTACGATACATATTCTCAACATGTGATTTATCAATTTGAGGACTTATTGCCACATTCCGTTTTACATACATATCCGTGATATACGCCTCTCTTCTTTTACGTACTCCGATGAAAGTCGATTTCAACGTCCATCAAAGATGCGCCATGCGATCACCCTGCGGCAATTCCGGCAATGGCGAGATGCCATCGAGAAAAGGGCGGAAATTTCTTTTACAAACACGTATAAAGTATTTTCCGGATGATCAATTTCTGTGAGCGTGTTCTCACAGCGCGTAATGTGTCCCGCGAAAATTCTTCGATCCGCGGAAATATCTCGGAAGAACGAAATCGTTCCGCAATTTTTTTATCTCGCGTCGCGAATATAAACCGACCATCACGATATACACTGCGCACCGCAAAAACTTACAGCCTGCGAAACTACAAATGCACATCTTTCGCATCTTGCTTCCCACGCCTTTTGCCATAATCTGAGACACTTTTCCTACAATTCAACTCATCAAATAAACTTGTTCTCCGAGAAACAACAAAGCGTTGCGTTGCGCCCATGATGAACGACGATTGAACGTCCGACAAAAGTCTTTCGACGACTTGAAACTCTTCTGCTTTTTACAGAATCTGTTTAAAATCCAGTTTTCAAACGCACTTGCGACAGTGCCGAGAGATGACTGATTGCGGCGTATCGATTGACTAGCTTCTTACATGTATGACAGTTAATCAGAACTGGGTGTGAGCTTTGCTTTATTCTGCGATTAAATCAAAAATCTCATTACAAATCTATATTTTTCCATATTTAATTAAATACAAAATCTCTTTATATCTTCATCTCTTTACATATTTTTATATAATACATTATTTTATCGTACAATAATATATTGAATAATTGGCATATATTAATTCAAATTGATATATCAAATTGATATATATTTAAAAAAAATCTATATAAGAGAAAGTAAAGATTTGACTTTTAATTTCTTCTTATAATATCGTTTTATATCATAAATTTAGTACAATATATTTAGTATATAAATTCAATAATAAAGAATACGTAAAAATACGAAGAACACGAATACGAAAGAAATATCTTACCCAGATCTGATAGCTGTATCTCTCAGCAAATGTGCGTTATATGCGCTGCGACGTGGAAAAAAACATCCAATATTTCCTGAACATCATATCAGAACCCATACTGCCGTCAGATATGCATTCGAATTCGCATCTGGACGCGTTCCGCGCTGATCGCGCATACCAGTGTTACATCTTATACTTTCTCCTTGCCCAGCAAGGCGATCACGTGATTAATTTTGCGATTTTTCATTTTCTGACCTTTTAGCTTCCCAGGTCCGGCAGACGCGATGCCACCGAGGTACTAAAAGTATACTAAAGCAAACATGCTAGCGCATGCGAAAGGCAACCGTATAAAAAAAAATCATAAAAAAAAATCACCGCCTTTTAAGCAGCGATCATTCGCTTATGGATTCGATTACCTAGGAACTGCCCTCTGCGTCCGACATTGAGTCCATATATGATTATTATGAAAAACATATATATAACTTATAATGTTTAATTATATCATAAGATATGGTAAGAATAATCTACTTATCAGTGGATGATATAAATTTGGTCAAAATTGAAGAAAATTTATTATTAATTCATAATGATATATGTCTATTATGTTAGTCCATTGTGTGTTTGAAAAGAATTTTTGGTAGATTATTCATGTAGTTTGGTTTTTTTTTTCTTATTATCTTTTTCTATGAATAAATAAAATCGAATGTTATCTAATGTGGGTGAATATTTCCCTTGACTTATAATTTTCTTAATGCCCACATTGTAGCATAGGTAATTTACACTATAGCTTTAATTCTACAAAAGGTGACTTATACTATTGATAATGATACTGTACAATCTTTTTTTTAATACTTAAAAGAAAGGTCGAATATAATATTTTAAATGTTCATTCATGAAAAGCAGAGAAACTTAGATATATAATAACAGTTATATCATACATTTAATGTACCTTTATATAAAAGAAATAAAGTGCAAATGAATGTGTAATCTTTATATAAAAAAATCTTTAATAATATGATAATTTATTTTTTCTTTCAGTCATTTTGTGCATAATGAAATCGTTATTAAATTTAATTATTTAGTAAAGTATAAAAAATATGATTTTATCAGTAACATCATTCTCACTTTAGATAATTCATAAGAAAAATATTTTGCCTTTATTTTTTATTTTATCGTTGCACGATTTTTATTATTCATATAAATGTGAAAAATTTAATTCTCATAATATTATGCAAGAAGCATAATTTACTTTATAGCATTGATTTACTTCATAAAGACATATTATCAAGCAGCGATATTAGACAGAATATTAATTGTTCATCTAACATATCTACTTGTACCATTCGCAAAAGCGAACAAACAATTAGTAGTCAGCGTGCGTTCCACTATGTTATTCAATGTTAATTTTTAATTCGACGATGTTATGCATTGTAATCTTAAATTATTTCTAGGATAATTCTAAGATATTTCTAGGATATTTTTAGGATAATTAATTTTATAGTAATTTAATATAAAGTATATATGAAGTTGAAAAAAATTATATATATATTATCATAATGAGTATATGATAATCTACTATATTGAAGCAATATAAAAATCTATTTAATAATAAGATTCCAAAATGTAAAAAATTTTGGGCAGGAAAACATATTGTCATAGATATGGAAAGCTCTTAAAGAATTCGATAACAATGCAAAACATCAATCTCCAGCTGGTGCAATTTACTTAGTTAGGTACTGTACTGAAATGCCGATTTACGAGCGCGTACGATGAACGCGTTGCCGTACGTTACCTTGGGGCGGCTTGTTGACCTGCGATTATTGAAGAAACCGATTACGACGATTACTCGCTATGCGTGGCTACCCGTAGATGCGACCCGATCGGCGAATAAACCAACCTGCGATATATGGATAATGCGCCACAAATTGCGTTTGCGTTCAAAGCTGGCGTGCTTTGAATTTGACAAGAAGGTATGTTCATCGCGTGCGACCATTATAATACTTTATCTGTTGAGAAAACTTAAGCGTTCTCGGGCCTACTATATTAATGTTCTTATAAGTGCGAATGGAGAATGTCCGGTCGAACAAAAACACCAAAATGTTAAACGAGAAAAGAAACAAATATGTCAATTACCGAAACGCGTATAAAGAAAGCAGCCGCTTTTTTGTAATCTCAATGTTATGCATTGCGATAGAAATGCATCGATTCTGATTCCGTCTCCATATCGACTCACGATAGCTCTCATTAAATAATTCCGAATTGTATAGTGAGATATTTATTCAGTTTTATTAAGACAGATTTTTAAACTATTTGTCGGAATTATGTCTAAAGTTTCACATATTTATCTTCTTATTATAGTTATCAGAATTTAATCTTATCAAGATCACCTAATGTAATGAATTTTCTGACATATGTCTATATTCTTAAAATTTTCATATTTCTTCTTTATATTTCATCTTTCACAAATGATATTTACAAATGATGTTCTATAATTTTATGAATTCTGAAAATATTTTACAAAATCAATATCACTTCATATTGACTTAAATAATTCATGTTCCATCCAATAAATTATATCAAATTATTCTGATGTGCGCATAATAAAGATATAAGATTTAAAAAATCTGAATATATTAATCTTTCTAATCTTTAATAGATGTGAAGTAAATTAACTTTACATAGAACTTTATATAGAAAATAAAAATTGCGCCTTCCAATATATTAAATTTTATCATATTTTCTATTATATCGATTTATAACTATTTTATGAGATGGAATTAGAACGCAAAAGGTAAACGAATGTGATGCGTGAATTGGAAAAAATGCAGTGTTTTTTTGCTAACATCACCATAATTTACAAGTTATTCCTACCGCCGCCGAAACTTTCTATGGAATAAATTTTTAAAAATTCCGTTCATACATCTTTTCGCGATAAAACCAAGCGCCATTGTAAGATACGCTGTTACATTCGGAACAGCTTATATTTTAATATCGATACAAGAATGTCGCAGAAAAAAATTTTTCAAACAAATTGTCGACCTGTACAACGCTCCTATTAACTGTTCAAGTAATATGCATTACATCTCTCACCAGAATTTATATTTTTAAAAAGTGCACTTTCTTATTTTTTACGACACATTTGTCAATACAAAATACGTAATTTTAATTTGACGTCACATCCAAGGTCCGTTTTACAAGTTCTAAAATATTAGTTTTTTAAATGAAATATATATGACAGTTTTATCATTAATTAAAAAGTAATTTCTATGAGCATTGATTCTTTAGCTGGCGTTCATAGGAATAAGTGATAATATTATAAGCTAATTTAAATATGTTTCATTAAGCCCACCATTAGTGGGATATTTTATGTATGTCCTATATAATAATTTTTTTAATAGATTACAAACGGGATGAGGGGAGACCAATGGACATTGAGATGAACTCAATAGGAACTACTAATAACTCTGAGAAGCATTCAGTCAACTCGTTTGCATGTCCAAGGGAGAGGATTTAGATGTGAAGAAGATGGGTAATAAAGCCTGGCCTTGTATAACGAGATGTAAGAAAGCATACAGCAATAAAATATTGAATTACTATTAATATGAATTTTTTTCATATAAAACATTGTTACAATAACTATTGAATTTAATAAATTCACATTTAACGTGAAATTATATTTTAAGAGATAAATTTTTTGATAATATACTTTTTCTTTTAGTTTCAATCCCAAAAAATCTTAAGCATGATATGAAAACTTTAATAACTTTTTAACCATATACATGTCATATTAACTTATTAATTTAAAATATTCTTGCTGACAATATTTATAGTGTTTTTTGGTGATATAAGAAAAATTAAGAGATGAATTTTAGATTAAAATTTTATATCTGATTTGTATTAAAATACAAAAATATCTAAATAGATACGAATTAGATATATAACTACAATATATATTTAATTAGTCTCTAGAATAGACCAGCAGTAAAAACTACCAGTAAAAACTTGTATATTGCAATACAATTCATCTAATAAAATACTTTTCACAAATTATGTAAAAAGTTTCTCGATGATTAAATGATCAGTTCTTTAATACATTTATATTAAAATTTTTTAAAATACTGTTTTATGGTATTTTATGTGCCAAGATTTAAATGCAATATACAAACAGAACTTGAAATCTAGCTAGAATACTAAATTATTGTTTTTTATATAATGGATATAATTATATAACTTCAAATTTAATCATGAGGGTTCAGGTCCAACACCATCTGCTAATCTATATATGAGTGAGGCTACTTCCACAGCTAATTTGTTAACATCCGATGGATTTTCACATTCCGCATAAACTCGCACGATGTCTTCAGTTCCAGAAGGCCTGAAATAAAAGTTATGATTAAAACATTAATCATGACATTACAATGCAATTGGTTTTTTTGATTAATTTTTTTCTCAATAAATTTTTAAACAAATAATAGATGGTACTTTAGAAATATTTATTGCATTATACCTAACGAAAGATCGACCTCTTGAATATTTAGATACAGCTTTATCAATCTCTTCTTGTAAACCAACAGGCGTCAAGCAATGTCTTTCCGCGTTTGTTGTTGTTATAATATTTCTATCTCTGACACTGACTTTAAGTTGTTTATTCGGCAAATCATTGTAACTCCTTTCCCACTCGATAATGTCCCAGCCTTTGGCGTGTAATATAGTCTCGACTAACAGCATATCGCTCAATGCATCACCGACCGTCTCGTTTATCAAATCAATTACGTCTTTCAGTTTTGTGGAGGCCGTTTTTTGTGCTTCCGAAAGCTTTTCATTCTTAGCATGATTCTTAATAACTTCCTTAGCAGTATCCTTGAAGATTACGGTTCCATGCCCATTTGCTTCGAAATAGATTCCAATATCGAATTCCAGCGCTTTCTTGTGTAAATGTTTCACACCAGTTGGCACGCACGCGACTGGTACTTGTAATACGTTCGAAATGTAATCAGTTGAACCACCGTTAGCATATGCTGTTTGTACTAAGCCCAATTGTAAAGATAAACCGCTCATTGTTAATAGTTCCTTAAAATAGGCTGCTACCAGCGTCGCTATTCGGTCTCCATCCAAAAGGTGGAATTTGTTATTTTCATCTACATAAAAATACACCACTCTATCTGCATCCCCATCGATACTAACGCATCTAACATTTGTTTCAGAAGGGATATTTAAAGGCATGGTCTGTTGTACCTTGACATAATCTGCACCGCACATATGATTCAAGCTTCCGCTTCCATCATTGAATAGATTAATATCCAATGCATCCATCAAATATCTTTGAAATTCCTTCACTGCAATAGCACCAACACCATTTGCAGCATCTAGGTTTAGTACACTTGTGTACTTTTTATTGTTTTTCTCAGCACCTTTAATACTTTTGAATACTGTTGCAAGTTTTGAATAATATCCTTGTAGAGTGGGATCGCCATAAGCACCATTAGTGTTTATGCATACAACAATATAGTGCAGCTGTGGAGTTGTAACTAATCCTAAATCAGTAATATTACCATTCAAAGCTCTGATTCCTGCTAATGCAGCATTTAATAAGATAGGACTACTTTTACGAGAATCTCTTCCTGTTATCACCTTGGCTGGTGTTGATAAGTCAATATTTTCTTTTATAGATATATCTGTTAATACATGTATCAAATCACTATCTTGCACATTAGCTAAATTTGTTGCTATAGTTTCCCAAGAAGCTTCAAGCATCTCTCCAGCAGGATCAATGAGTTTAATACCATTGTCAGGCTCCAAGTTATGACTTGCTGTAATCATTAAACCTATGGCAGCTGAAAAAAAAAATATAATTATTAAGGAAGAATAAACTTAAAAATATTTAAAACTTTTATTTTATGATGTCTCACCTCTTGTTGCTTTTGATCTTAAAACTGCTAAAAGACCCATTCTATATAAAACATGTTCCAGAACATTTGATCTAAAATTAATAAATACATTTAGAATTATTTTAAATAAAATATAAGATTTGTATGGATGTTATACTATAAAAATATAGAAAGTAAGTAAAAATATTATTTTTTTATGTAATATTTTTAATTAAAGAAATCAACAGGTGTCAGTGAGAAAAATAAAGGAATTTATTTACTTTGTTCTAAAGCCAGCTGTTCCATATGTGATATATTTATCATATTTCCGATTGTATTCGGCATTCACAATATTTTGAAAATAATTGGATTCCATAATTATATCAATATTAAATTCAATATATCACAGATTAACATAAGATTTATAATATGCACATTGCGTACGAAAATATAACCACCATATGGTAGATATCTGCTGTATTACTTGGATTAACAGTCATGGATACATGAATATCTAGATACGACGTGCATCATACATTTCAATTGGACTAAGAATCTGATTAGTCAACCTATCCCAGATAAGGCCGGGTCTACAATAAGTAATTTAAACCTTAAGAGATTGACCAATCACAGTCAAGTATGAAGAGAATATTCGACTGTGATTGGTCAATTTCTTAAGGCTTAGGGCTTAAATTATCTATTGTAAATCGGGACTTACGATTTTTGATGTATTTATCAGAGTACAAAAAAGTGCTTTATTCTTACTTGATATGATATAAACTGCGTTCTTATTTTATATAATACAAAATGCATTGAGAGATTGTTTTCAATTTAAATAGGTATAGTTTATTTTAAATATTTTTTTGTATTATAGGCTATCTATTTAAATTGATTTCTATCGATAAATTAACTATTATACGTGCATCAATTTTAGAAGAAATATAGGTAAGTATCGATTGTTTTACAATTACACATGTGAATTTATTTGTTATTATATGGAATACATAATCATTAAGTATTTATTTGTTCTAGGTATACTTATTTATTTTTATATAATGGATGGTGAAAATTTGTTTAATATATTTCTTCAAACACACACACTACAACTTCAATCTTGTGGTGTTCCACAATTATTCTGGGAAAGTCTGTACAAGAAATTAAAAAATCAAATTTTTGATTCTGACCTTGTCTTCCATTTGGCAAAGGTAGACTATGAGAATGAAAAAAGACATGTTACAGAGCCAATTTGGAAACTAATTGTATCTGCAGAAAATGGTATCTCTATACAAGATCCAAATAACATTTATTTGATTGATCATGCATGGAGCTATGATATTCGTAATGCTCAACAAAATTTAATCCAAGTACCTAATCTGCTTAATCGTATGTGCTTATTGATGGGCATAGATATTGAAGCTGAGGAACAGGAAAAAATTGAAAATGTTATGAGGGAAATGTGGCGATACAATCAGTCGTATTCAATAAATTATGCAGCAATAGAGGATAGAATGCCAATATGGTATATTATGGATGAAGTTGGATCGGCGATAAATCATAGTAATGAACCTAATTTTAGAGCAGTGCCTTTTTTGTATATGCCAGAAGGTGTTACTTATACACTTCTATTTCCTATAAAAAATATTGGTGCAGGAGACGAAGTTACAAGAGATTTTGTAGAAAATCAGACAAATGATCCTCAAAAGAGATGGGCATTATTACTGCCTTGGATTGATAGTGTTTTTGAAGAAAGTTTTGAACAGACTGAGCCAGATGTAGATTACTTTTTAGGAGATTATTGTTATGAAAGCTTGTCAGAAATGAAAACTGAACTAAAGGCAGATACTAATAAAAAATTGAAAGTTTTTTCACATTATGATAATGTAATTAATTATTTGACAGATCCAGCATTTGAAATCACTGACAATGAAGAAGAGGCAGATATATTCTGGCTTACGTCTCACTACAAAATGTATAAAGAATTGAGCCTTTCTTTGCCTCATGTTTTTGTAAATCAATTTCCATACGAACATGTTTTGACAAGAAAAGATCTATTGTCAGTTGTATGTAGAAGAAAAGTAGCGAAAGATAAATTATATGATCCAGATACTCTAGAAACTTATCCAGCATGGTTACCGACAACATATAACTTGAGTACAGAGTTGGTGCAGTTTGTTGTTTACTTTACACAGCGAGCAGATAAAAATTTGGATAATCATTGGATTTGCAAACCATGGAACCTGGCGAGAGGCTTGGACACCTATATCACGAATAATCTCTATCACATTCTGAGATTACCTTGCACAGGGCCTAAAATTGCACAGAAGTATATCGCGCGACCAGTTTTATATAACAGGCCAGATATCAATCAAGTGAAATTTGACATAAGATACGTTGTATTACTCAAATCGGTAAAACCATTGCGAGTGTACGCTTACGCGAATTTTTTCCTGCGTTTTGCAAATCTACCATTCGCGCTGAACAATTTTGATGTATACGAGCAACATTTCACCGTCATGAATTATATTGAGGAGGATGCGCTTTTTCATTTAAAATGCGCCGATTTTATCGTGGAATGGGAAAATCAGTATCCCAACTATCCATGGAAAACCTATGTTGAACCAAAGATTCTTTTCGTTTTACAACAGGTTTTCGAAGCCGCAACCGCGCAACCACCGCCAAAAGGAATCGCTGAAAATCCGCAAAGCAGAGCCGTGTATGCCGCCGATTTGATATTGGAATGGAAGGATTCCGAAATGCAGCCTAAATTATTGGAAATAAATTTTACGCCAGATTGCAAGCGAGCGTGCGAATATTATCCAGATTTCTACAATGATGTCTTTAAATGTCTGTTCTTAGATATTGATAATCCAGAAGTCTTTCATATATTAAATTGAACTATGATAAGATCGTTTGGCTTCATTAAAGGAAAAAAAAGTATGTTCAATATTTTTTTAATTAAATAATGTATGACTGTTAACTATTGTCTTTTCATATTAACTGTGATCAAATAGCTAGATGTTATTCAAAATTTCATTCTTCATATTCAAGAATTCAATGAAAGAAAATATATGAATAAATATGATTGAAATGCACGTATCTTACGATAATATGCTGTGAGAAAAATAATAGACAAATACCATACAATTTATTACAATTTATTACAATATTTAATAAATTGTAATATAAATTAAAGTTGAAATATTTTCTGTATATCTTCTTGCATTATAAATTATTTCGATGATTGGATCAACGTTGCTAAACAATTAATGTAATATTATCATTTTATACGCCAAATTTGTATTTTTCAAAAATATTTTTTTTTTAATCTAATTGTAATTTATTAAGTAATGAATAATGCAAGGAAGTAAGTTCATTCTTTGTCATATTCTAGTTAATATAAATTCTTAGCATTATATTTACACTAACGATTTGTGAATTACGAAATTAATTATAAATTTATATCTATGCTCCAAAATTCATTGCTAGCGCTGAAAATATATAATACACGTAACGTGAACTATAGATTTTCAACGCTGGCAGTGAATTTTGGAACGCCCTATATTACATTTGCAGGCTTAATGATTTTGTGTTGAGTTTATCATCTAGTCTATTAATTAAGTCATTAATTCAATGTTAGACAGATTTATAGATTTAAAAAAATTTGTAATCTGAAATTTATAATCTGAAATAATTTTTTAAAGTAGAACATCCATAAGAGAATGAATTGAAAATAGCTCGAATAACGTGAATATATCGGCGTAACAATCGCATTTACATTACAATCGGGAGCAACTTCTATCTCCTTGTTTCTCCGTGCTCCGTGGCTCAAGCATGAAAATATACTCACGGGAAACAAAGTTTTAATAATAAATTTTTTGCGTCCGTACAATAAACACTAATTATCCAATATGAGAATCGTTTGCGCTGCATTAAATTGTAAATATTCGTCGGAAAACGAAGATTCATCAAATGTCACTTTCATTAATTTTCCTAATGATGACACGTAAGTGCATTAGTAAAATAGGTTAGCATATCTTAATGCTCGTTATTAGGATGAGCTATTTTATTTTTTAGAAATTATGAAAGTGATTTTATTATTTACGTATTATATAAATTATGAAGTGTTATTATTTTCGTATTATATATTGACGATATATATAATTGATAATATATATATAAGTGTTATTATTTTCGTATTATATATTGACGATATATATAATTATATAACTATTCTATCAATGCTTAAATTCCAAGTTTGAAAATAATTTTTACAGAGCCAAAGTATGGGCGGAATGTTGCGGTAGATCGGATTTAGCCACAAAATCGAATGCAGAATTACATTTAAATTATTACATTTGCTCCCATCACATTAAAGATCGCTGTTACATAAGCAAAACTGTGCCTGTTATTATAGAAGGTACTATTCCTACTTTATTTAGGACCAATTCAAGTGCCAATAATGAGGACTCAATAAATATATTTGATAAATCGCAGCATTTTCAAGAGATAGATGATAATGTGCCTCTAACATATTGTGATATGAATGTCGAGATAGATGAATATCATGATATCAATATCAGATTTACCAATTTGTGCAGACTCTGTGGTGAATCTGCTTTGGATGGGATAGATATCTTTGCAGCCAAAGGTATAGAGTTTAAATTAAAAGAAAGAATAAATTTGCATATGCCTATTTCAATCGATAGAGAAGATTCGATGCCACACAAAGTATGCATAGATTGTTGCAACAAATTGGAAATTGCACACTCACTGGTTGTTTCATGTTTACGAACTGATATACGGATGAAAAGATTCCTAAATATTGAAAAACAGGTATGAAAAAAATATTAATTTTTAGTAATTATAAGTATTTTTAGACCTTTTATTTATATGTGAAAAAGTGTTTTTAAAATATTGTAAATCTAATGTTAATTTATTGTATAATCTATGAATGTGATATTTTGCAGTCAAAATATGAAAATAAGTACAATGTATTAATTGATGAATGTTCATCAGAAATCGCTCAAGAAATGTGTACAGATGATAATACACATCCTTTTACATTTATTACTAATAAAATGGTAAACTCTTCAGAATCAACTTTGAAAGAATTAGGGAATGGTGTATGTTCTGAAATACAGAAACATAACTTTCAGAGCATTGCAAAGAGTATTGTGTCATCAGAATTAAATACTCTGATCCAAACCTGTACAGACGTTAACAGCAAAGCTACTGAGATCACAGAAAAAATATCACAAATTCAACAAGATAAAATCCGCAATGAAAATCATAGCATTTTATGCTTGCAATGCCAAACTTTATGCGATACACAAGAAATATTTGAAAATCATAAAACATTTTGTAATAAGAAAGAGGATGTTCCTAAACACATAACTATATCTAGAACTACAGAAAATGAAAAGTACAGAAATGAGCAGATTAACTTTAAAATAAAAACTTCTCAGACATTCAATAAAGAATGTGAAAGTAAGCAAGTAATTAGTAAAGCTAAAATGTATGAGACAATTCATTGTGCTATTTGTAAACAAACATTTAAATGTCAACAGGATTATGATAATCATAAATATTTTCATGAAAATTTTACCACTGAAATAAATAAAAGATGTGGTCATTGTAAAAAAGTTTATCATAATAGAAAAGATTTGTTAAATCATATTATGGAATCACATGAGGGGCGATTATTATTTCAGTGCTTTACATGTGATAAAATGTACGAGAAGTGGTCTAGCTTGGATATTCACGAGGCTACTCACAGAATAGATAAGCCATATCTTTGTGATCTATGTGGGAAAAGTTTTAAACATTCCAATAATTTGAGAGGTCATAAAAGAATTCATTTGGATGAATCTATAAAGAAGAGACACATGTGTGAAATCTGTGGCGATGCATTCAGATCAAGGTAATAATTATTCTCAAAATTATTTTAGTTAATTTTACAAACTTAATTTCTATAAGTTAAATTATATTTCTAAATTGTATCTTTTGTTTTTACAGATTTCATTTACGAGAACATATGAATCAACATGATGGCAACAGACCCTATTCTTGTGAACAGTGTGGGAAAGCCTTTTACAAAAGGATTCAATTACGGCAACATAAATTATCGCACGGATCCAATAGGCATGCATGTTCGATTTGTGGTGCAACATTTAATCGCAGAGGAAACATGAATACGCATATGAAACGACATAATGCAATTGGAGCATATACATGTAGCGTAAGTAGCATATTGATAGCTTGTAAAAATTCTGTATAATTTATTAAATTTTTCATCTTTGAATATATTAATATTAATTATATATTCTCATTGAAAATGAACTGATTAAAAACAATATGACAAGAGAGAGTAACTGATTTATAGGTCTGTGCTTATAAGTGCAAATCTATGAGCGAATTGAAGATACACAGGAAAAAACATACCGAGGAAGAAATAATAGATAGCATCAAAAAGAAATGTAATGACAAGGAGATATGGCGGTGTAACATCTGCAACAAAATATTCCCAAAGCGCACTGTTCTGATAAATCACGAACGCGTACACGGAGACGATAAATTATACGAGTGCGACGAATGCGGTAAAAAATTAGCGAGTAAGAGCTCGTTGATGTATCACAAAAAATCAATGCATCTAAGAGAGAGACCGCATATGTGTCATTATTGTGGAAATTCATTTGTTTCGAAAGAAGCGCGATTGATTCATGAAAGAATACACACTGGAGAACGTCCGTATATCTGCAAGGTTTGCAATATGCGCTATAGATGTTCCAGTAATCTCAGCCAACATATGAAGATCCACACAGGTGTCAAGCCACACAAGTGCCATTATTGTAGCAAAGATTTTACGCGCAAAGGTGCGCTAATTGTCCACGAGAGAATCCACACGGGTGTTAAACCGTATCCTTGCGAGACTTGTGGTAAAAGCTTTTCGCAAAAGAATGACATGTTGAAACACGCTAGGACACATGGCAAATTAATGCAATGTAACCAATGCAACGAAATCTTCAAACGGAAAAAAGATATGTTAAAACATATTACAATGCATAAACAAGATATTTCGGTGATTTCAAACTACGTCAATTCGCTGTCACATGTTTCCTAAGTTCTCGCCAGTACAATTATCTCTTTGAATAGAGAAAGAATAATTTTAATTTTCTAATATAAAATAATATTTATGATTAATGCTGATTTCATCGGCATATGAAAAAGTTGTCTTCGAAGAAAGAAAATCTACGTCTCGAAAAAACTGTGTCAGCTATGGAGTACCTGAATTTATATATTTTTCAACATATTGTAAGTATAACAAAAAAAATTAAAATTTTTAATTGGTCTAAACAATTTCTATTCATCTAAAACTCAATTATTGATATAGATATTTTCGAAATTCTTATTTCTTAAGATTAATCGATCGAATTATATTTCACAATAACATAATAAAGATATATATGAGGAAGGAGACATGATTAGTATCATTTTCATAAATGTAATGTTATGTTCTATGCACACAAGTATAGTAGATTAAATAATTTATTATCTTAGTAATTTATTATAGAATTTATTTTTTCTATAATCAAGTTAAAAGAAAAAACATGTATTTATTATATTTAATATTTCCAGAAATTATCTGAGAAGGCTGTATGTTTTGAGAAAGAGAGATCGCTGCTGGATAAAATCTGAGCTTGGAATTTTTGCAAAAAGTCAGTTTATTAATGAGTGTCGTCATATCATGTTCTTATCTTAATACGTTTTTCAAGAAAGAATGAAGATTGTCTTGTAAATCAATGTTTTTGGAAAGTCTACAAGTAATATTTGGCCTAGCTGAGTATTAATAAGCTTGAGACATGTAAGTATTTGAAAATCCATATAATTCATATATACGTCACTGTAATTTTTTTGTAGCTTGCTAAAAGATATGAACGTCACATAAAACGGAATATATTACGTATAAAATTAATTTCCATCTAAAAAATTTTCTACGATGTGTCGATATTATAATAATAAATTATTTTGAAGAATGAACTTATGAGATAATAATAATCTATGTAAGTTCTAATTCGGGACTGAAAAACGAAGACTAGGTGTAATGAAAGTCATTGTTATATATAGAATAATACTCTTTATTGTTTTTGATAGTTCTTGTCGTTTTTCATATCGCACGTGCGCTGCAGTTTCTTTTTATTCAACTTTTGTCATTCAATATCCAGTTAAACGATTCCCCATTTTGACTGTCAGTTCTGCTGCTGCTGCTGTTGCTGCTAATATATTTTGGTAGAACAGTACGCGATACACAACTCCACGATTTTCAGAACAAAGAGAAACGAAAAGAAATGGCGACACGCCCGATCACTCGCGAACACACACGTGTGCCGTATTATTCGTCGACCGCATATAGGACTAGAGTAATTGCGATTTCCCACATATAACACGTTCTCCCGCATTTGCCGATTAATCTTTCTCAATTCCTAAATGATCGAGGAGCACACGTGCTTTTGTGCGCAAGTACAAACGTGGGCCCGATCGAGTCGCACGCGTTCTGCTCGCTCGAACAGCTGATGACCGTCGCCGGTGTCATCGCTCAAAACTCATCACGCGCTCGTTAACAATTGTTTGCATTGTTCCTTCTCTCCGCATTATTTCTTCAACGCAGCGGCCTCGCAACGCCACGCTCCTTCTTACTTACATTATGATCGAGTGATCGGCACGTGATCGTCGACGATACACAATTACGCATCTCTCGGAGTAACGATCTCCGCGGGCTTGGTTAAAACGCGCGCATCCGGCGCGCGCGTTGCGAGTGCACAGCGTCAAGGTCGAGTAACAAGGCGGACGATGACTCGAAGAGAGTTTTTCATACATTTGAGAGCGCATGATAATTTTCAGCGAAGTCTCCGAGTGCTCGATCGCGTTCGCGGATCCGCTCGCGCGAAATTGGCGAAGCCGCGCGAAAGCCGGCACTAAAGGTCAATCAGCACTGGAGAGATCGCTCTCGAGCCTTCGTCGAGCCCGACGACGGACAGCTATTAAGCTTCTGGAAAATGCTGTGTGAACCGGATGACCCGGAAATGCCGTGCGTTTACCTGACGGCCCGTCTTGATTCGCGATCGCCTCTTTTTTATCCCATATTTTTTTCTTTCTCGTTTCTTTTAAATTAATTAACTCTGTCTCTCTCTGTAACTGTCATCCTTCGCGCTATTATTTACAATGTACAACGTCGTGCATCCTTCCTGCCCTAATTTTTTACGACGGCGCGAGGATCGGCGCATCCGACCGCTTCCCCATCGACAATTTCTCGTCGTTCCTTTCGCCTGGAATTTTTACTCTTCGCTCACAATTTTCTCATGATAAAGGAACAAGGTCGAAATTGAACGAGTTCTCATAATGACGATCCGAAACTATTTATGTGCGCGCATGTAATTGAATTTTCGATCAGACATAGAATGATATAAATAATCGTATATAATTTTCTGCATAAGACAATGCTGAAATTAATTATAAACTTGGCATGAGTCGTTCACACTAAGAGAAAAATATCACGTATATTGTATAAATTTTTAATCTTGCAGAGTCTGCGCAAAATGCAACAATTTTTGATCGTAGAAATCTGTCTATCGGCAAAAAAATAGTTTCGGGAAAACTTGAGAATGAGAGGAAGCGTCATCATATCAAACAATCGTTATACGCGTAAATAAAAACGAATCTCATCCAGATATCGCCACGACGATGAGGAAGAATCGATTGCGCGAGCTCGTCGCCGTCTTATATTATTTATCAAGATAAATATATACATACATATGTATATATAATAATAATAATAATAATATTAATAATAATAATAATAATCTTATACGCACACGTACACGCGTGTACATATACACTTTTCTTTATATATAATATATATAATATATATCTTATTTATATATATATTTTCTCAATATTAGTCTTATTATATCCTCTTTTCATTTTTCACTTAAAACGTATCTCGCATTATTTATACTATTTACAGACGCCTCCATCCGTTGTCCCATTAGAAAAGAAAGGAAAAATAATAAGAAAAAGAGACTCGCGATAATCGTGTTAGAGTGTGTCGCACATCGTATGCACGTCGGCGTGCCGAAGACTCACGCGCGACCTTGCCGTCGGGTTTTAACAGCCGTAACTTTCTCTTTCGGCGGTTTTTAGGCACTTCACGAAACGCGCGTATCCGATGGCGAGTTACGCGTCCGCGTGATCGCGAAGAACCTCAACGAATCGATGCCAGCAGCGCTAATGTTTGCATTTAGTCTTGCGAAGGAAGCCGAAAAATCCCAGCGGATACTTGACAATTATACTTATATGTCATTCAGATAATTGTGATGTCTGAGAAGGGATTCGTCAGACACGCAAGCGGACTTTAGATTTTCTCTAAGGAAGAATCACAACTTTCTTATATGCTACTTTACAGATAGAATAATCATAGACTAAAGATATAATACCGATAAATGCATTTCAAATGTTTCTTTTATATTAGAGTTTTTTCTATATATTGAAATTTCACTATTTTAATCTTTAACTCTTTTGTATAAACTCGCCTACTCGTAATTATCTTCGCGTAGACTATTGTCGATCGCGCCATGTCAGCGAAGACAATGGCTCTGGTAACAGTCGAATAGCAATCGAATTTGATTCATTGAACCTATGTATGTAGCAATCGATTACGACTGCTCCTCAATTGTTGTTTACGTATAGATCTACGATTGACATGATCGCGAGACGCTGCTGGCACGAGACGCATCGGTCTTCGTAACCCCTTCGTTTACAATAAAATTTCTTTTCAGAAGAGAATACACGCATTTTAGATTTTTGCGCTTCTCTGTATTCTGTTAATTTGAAGAGAAACATATATATATATAAGTTACTTTTTTAACATATATTAGATCTGTTCCCGATTGAAGAGAAGGGGTTTCTTAATTTATAGAAACGCGACTTGGAACACGCGCGATTGTACGACGCGGTGCTAATCACTTCCAATAGCTTTGCTTGCTCAACAATATCGTGGAAGAACAATGCGGCTGCTCCACTGAAAAACGTAGTGCACAAGATATTTTTGCATATTTTCAGAGCGGCAATATTTACTAAATTATCGTTTTATCACACTTCATTTCGCTAAGTGTGTGCGATAACAAAAAATAGTAATCTATTTATAAAATATATTATATAATATTTAATTATAAAATCATTCAATTTTAATTAAATTATGAATCGAGTTATAGTAAATTATAATTACGAATGATTATAAAATATGAAGATATATAAATATATGAATGATTTAGAAAATCTTAGAAAAAGATGTTGCATCACATTGTTTTTCTGCGGAGCAGTCAAACGCACGTCGCACGCCGCGAATCCCTCCTTCAGCGTACAATAAATCGGAGGGTGAATCGAATTAGAAATGTGAAAAAAAACTCGTCCGTTTATTCACTTCCGTTCACAATGCATTCTCAAACATCGCGTAATCTTTCCATCAATTTCTCTTTTTGGAATATAATTTTCTAGTTAGAAATAATTCATAATTATATATATTCTCAATTTTTTCGGGGATAAACTTTACAAAATTTCAAATGTACACTTTCTATCTAATTTATTTTTCGCAAAAAGTTAAATCACTATCTATTCGGCGAATTCAAATTCTGTGCAGCATAGTAAGATGATGACAGCTTCTTAGCCGATACCTTACTATAAACCAACTCTCTTGATCGGAAAGGAGCTATCGCTTTCGCCTAATCACTGCTCTTTCCCTGAGAGATTCGAATCTTCACACATGTTCTGCGATTCTCTGCGATTCACCCACCGTTATTATACGATAGGTGTTCGACACCCAACGCGCATACAATGTATATGTAACGCCATACATAAAATCTCGTGTGTGACACTCTCGCGCGATCAGATGCATCGGTTTGTACGTACGCTTTTTCCTTTATCTAAACCCTCCCCGCGCTCATTAAAAGTAATATTGCTCGTCGTATTTGAAGAAATCGCGCGGAGAGAGAGGGGGAGCATTATCGTTTAGAAGGGGGTTGGAGGAGGGAAAGAGGGATGTGACAGAAGATGGGTGCCGATCGTAATGCTATAGTACAAAGTAGAAAATGGAACTCGAGGAAGGATCGAGGATAGCGGTTCATAGGGTGAGATGAAGGGTTTCTTCTTTCTCGACGATTCGCGCGCTTATACTTAAGAGCTTAGCTTAGTAAGTAACGCATATATAATATATATATATATATATATAATATATACAACAAGTATCTATAGTATATCTCGCGTATATCTCTGTGTATATGTGTTATGTCGTACGTGTTATGTATATGTGTATGCGTATATGTCCCGCGTGTCATCATAAGAGAGAGAACATCATATATATAATTACAATTTAAATCCAACTCTATCGTGATATATAATTACATTTCTTTTTACACACATGCACTCCTTTTACACTCCTTGTGTTCTTGTGTCCCTTTCTCGCACACTCTCATTCATCCACTCGTTTAAGTAATCAGTCGAGTCGATAAGTTATTATATTCTCTTCGTAACGTTAGACTTTCTTAAATCGTTTAGCTTTTAAGTATAGCTGCTCTCTTGAATGAATTCGTGGACGTTGAGGGCGAGATCGCGTACGGATCCACGCGAGAAGATGCGTCCGGGGTCGAGGATGGGCTTCAAATCGACCTTAACTCTCGAGCGTTCGCCTTCTTCACGCGCGCGCGCACGCCGGCCACTCTCTAGTTTATATTTAATATGTGTACATATGATACATTTATGGGAGATCAGTGACGCGCAGTGGCCACCGTGCGACGATCCGAAGGGGAGAACGTTATCCCGATCTCTAAAATGCAGGTACATTTGTCGACGTCGTACGTCGAGACACAAGATATTCACACGAAGGCGCCGGCGTCTCGCCTTAATCTCCTTAGGATGCATCGTCTATTACATATAACACATACGCACGCAAACGCATGACATGGGTCCTGCTTCGTTCCACTCACAACTGCAATTACTCCAGTTTTTTTTTTTAAATGTGACATTGAAAGAGTAGATTCATATTTCTAAAAAGTATTTTTTTGCTCGTTGTAACTCGATTATCACTGCGATTAATTTCTCATTAAGAATATATGTATATATATTTTTTCTATATATCTTTAATTTAAATTATAAAAGTTTTTCTCGCTTTTTATATCTTATATTTATCGTCTGTTATTCTTTTTTCCTCTTCATATTTTCCTATTTATAAACAGGAAATTTGTAGACTCATGGTCATTTTGATAAAAGTTAATGTGGAGTTCGCATTTAAAACGATGGTTGAGTCATCATCACTGACCTATGTCATGCATTTTAGGGCTAACTCATTGCGTTGGAGCTTAATGGACTTTGAAAACCTAATGGACTACTTTGCATGCTTAATTTTAATATTTCGACTTACGATTAGACTTCGTGATTGAATCATGGCATATATTTCTTTACTATGGCTTGGTGTAAGAAAAAAATTTCTAGATAAATATTACTATTTGCTGAAAGAATAATCGTCAGTTGTAAATCGTTATCGTTAACTAGAGTGAGTGTTCACGACAAGAAACATACGTCGCTTTGAAATTAAAATAATAAATATATTAGAATTATTTGTACTTTCAGATGTATATATACATATGTGTGCATATCTCTTAGAATGTTAAAATCAAGATAGACAAATATTATTCCTAAGACGATCTTTCGTATAATCACTGTATGAAAATAATTTTTGTTCTTGACGATGTTAATGTTCTTGCCGATACACTCACTAATATTAAAAACACGCATTCTATTGCACAGCCCAAACATATCTTGTAGCTCCAACGCAAAATGTTTAAACCCTTTCTTTCATCATTCCTCATTCTTACAACATGTAAACAATCGAGACTGAGTCGCATTAAGCTATCTATCTACCTATCTATCTTGGTTCAACAATTTCTTTTTGACGAGATATCTGACAGATATTCTTTGACGATCTTCAACACACGCGAGATCAAATACTCGAATAATTTGGGCGATGGTGCGACCACTTTCTCGATCGAGACGCCGACGTCTCCGATTTACATCGTATCACGCTTACGACAGTAGGACGCGTCACGACGACCCCGAGCGACGGAGCGATCCGTGCGAATTCGGTACGCGTTCGGCTTAAGGTATGTATGTGTCTGTATGCGTGTTTGTCTGTCCTTAGAGAAAAGAAGCACCAGGCTACAGCCGCCCTGTAGCACCATATGACTTGTGTGTGCGCTTGCACTCGCGCGTGTTTCTTCGTGCGTCATGCGTATAATATAGGCCACGGCGGTCGTATATATAATATATATATATTATGTGTGAATGTGTATACATGGTTACATGCTGGGTACGCGCGAATGGTGTATCATCGACGTTATCATCGATTGGTCACATTCGCCCAGAGTCCGTAGACTCTGCTCTTGAGCGTCATTTCATCAAAAAGATCTCTCGGACGACCTTCCCCAGTAATTTCAGAATATAACGTACGAAGAGGGGGAGAACGTACAGAAGAGGAAGCAGAAACTCCCCCAAGCCAAGTGACTTCGATCACAGTGTTCTCATAGTTTTCCGACCTCGAAGAGAAAGCTTCTTCTCGTATTCGACGTGCGGCTAAAAAAGCCTTCTCTTTCTCTCTCTCTCTCTCTCTCTCTCTCTGTCTCTCTCTTTTCCATCCTCGGATCTTTTGCATATGTCTTAATCGCTTTTCCAAACATTCACTGAATGAATCTTCAAGCTTGCAGATGCAACTATGGAAAGTTTTAATTTTCCAGGTGCGTCTTATCAGGCGCCGAATGCAGAATTGCACGTCTCGACCGCCATTGTACGTTTATTGGAGAATTGACCATTACCGATAGTTTTCTCAAATCTTACGGCTTATTTTGAGATAAGTGATAATCGCATTTACACCTGGCTTCGAAATTCCACGGCGGAGAAAATGATATACATGATAGTCCAATACGAAAACCGTCCGAATTTCTGCCGGGACATAGGATTATCCGACGCGAATAGCAGCACCTGTCGGCTCGCGGACAGTAAAGATTCTTCTTCAACCCCCCCTCCCTCGCCTTTTTAACTCTCAGAGCGCTCTGTTGTCTTGTCTGCACCTGCGAATGTGCCGCGTGTCATGACGCGTCCGTCCCTCGGGGAGATACTTATTGTGGGAGACGTTAATTAGCGATAGCGTAATAATAGTAATAATAGTAATATTAGTAATAGTAGTAATAGTAGTACTAGAAGTAGAGTAGCAATAGTAGTAGAAGTAACCGTAACGATAGTGGTAAATAGTCACGGGAGGATAGCAATAAAAGTAGTAGCAATAGAGCTCACTGTGGTAGCAGTCATAACAGCGGTGATAAAAAGAGCGAAGGAAGAACGAAAGTGTCGCAGGAGATTACTCGGTATCGTATCCGTCTGTCCGTATGCATGTGTACGTGTGTAATTGACGCGACAATAAATTAACGCGAAGAGAGAAGAAGGCGGCTCCTCGAGAGTCGCCGGCCAGACGTCGAACGCTCCAGAGAGAGGGTGAGCTATATTCATCGCCGCCTCTCGCCCGCGCGCCTTCCAGGGACTTTTTCGCAGGATTTTCGCGTGCTGACCGTCGTTGGGGATCTACTTGGCCCCTACGGCGTCAGGGGATAGAAATCGATGAGGTGACTCAACGATGTCAAGGTCGAGGGCTATGATCCTACGCACATCAACGATTCGTGCGTACTACTGCTGCTACCGACGTTGTTGACACTGGTGCTACCAACGTTGCTATTGCCGCAGCTGCTGCCGCAACTGTTCCCCGAGGACATTAGATGTTGCTGCTGCTGCTGCTGCTGCTGCTGTTGCTGCTGCTGATGGTGATGATGCTGATGATGGTGATGGTGGTGATGATGATGGTGATGATGATGCTGTTCCTGGGTCGTTGTACTTCTCAAGATGTCGTCCGCCGAGAGGGGCGTCAACTTCCACCCGGGCATGAAGTCCAGGTCGAGATCGGGCCCTATGTCCACGTCCAGTAGTTCGTTGTTGTTGAGCGGGTCGAGCGGCGACTGGCTCGACAAGGATAGCACGCTGCCCCAGTTAATCGATCGGCTGTCGTCGCTGTCGCCGATGCCAGAATCGACGTCGGTCTCTCCCGACGACGTCGGTGGCACGGGGAAAGGCGTTAACCTGCCTTGCTCAGGCGGTTGCAATTGAGCTATCGGTGCCGGTACGACCGGCTCCATGGGCGGCGGACTCCTGTCCCTCTCCATCTCACGTTCCAGGTGTCTCAAAGTGTTGCAGATCAATACCGACCTGTGGAGGCTTGGATCCGGGAACTGGCGGTACCTGGCGAGTTTGCACATAGAGATGTTCAAAACGGCGAGTCGTCGCTGCCGGTAGCAGGCTCGACCGCGTCGGCACCAACTCGATTTGGAGCCTTCGCAACATCGCTCGTTCGCTCGATAACTCGAGCCGAGTTCCAAGTAACTCTTGCCGTTCTCCTCGCGACGTATCGTCGGCGGTTCATAATGATGAAGCGCGCCCCATTGCGGCTGAGATCTCGATAGTTGATTATAACCGTTGTTGCCGATTGGACTGACGGCGCCGCGCTGGTGATGATAGTAATGTTGGTGATGTAATTGCGTCACCGTAGACGAGGCCGATGTCGAAGGTGACGCCGGCGATTGTTGTTGCTGTTGCGATTGTTGTTGTTGCGCCTGTTGCGTTGATTGGGAAGATGAATGGTGCTGTTGGGACGAGTGTTGCTGCGATTGTTGCTGTTGTTGTTGCTGCTGCGAGGAACCCGTCGCCGTGGGCTGGCACGGGTTCGTTGCCTGTAGGCAGGGTGAGCTCACCTCCATCTCGTAATACGACGTCGACGTCTGGTTCAAGGGCGGTCCATAACTGTCGTCCATCGCCCACCAGCTACCGTCCACGCGTCCGAGCTTCGACGGACTCTCGCCCAAGTCCATATGGAATTCCATGCAGCCAACACCACCCTCCAATTTGCGTTTTCCTGCCGTCGCCTGCAGACCCATCATTGCACAACTCTGAAAGCACGCGTAAATCGCTACCATTAGCTCCACATACTTTCTCGTACGCATTTCTAATTCTATTTATGGAAAAGACATGCATATTTAAGTTATAATTCCATCGTATTATATATTCCTAATGACGCTAACGACTAAGATTGTTAAAGGGCAGCATTATCTCGCGTATTCGTCGGCGTTAATGCAATAAAATCGAATGAGCGCGCTTAGCTTCGCGCGTCGCACGGAGGCGAGAGAGTAGGCAAGAGAGGACGTGACTCAGACGCTCGGCACTCCGACGAAGCGATGGAGAAAATGACGTCACGCGACTCCCTAGCCCTGAAGAAATCATCAGCGGAACGCGAACGATCGCTGCTGGCGAGCCGGTTCGACTTTCAATAATATCTTATAAACATTACAGTTCGCTGGAATATTTGCGACAGAAGAATTCACACATTCGAGAGACTATAAAATATTAAAAATCTTTCTTTACTCAATTACAATTTTTTTCGTTGACAATTTTATTTATTATTTTTATATATAAAATTATATTATTTATATTATTTAGAATATTAGTTGTTAGAATATTTATTATATTTAGAATAGTATATAGCATCTAATTATATTAATTATATTATTTATATATAATCTATTTTATTTATAAGATTATATATTTTTTATATTTATAAGATTTATATATTTTTTTTATTACATGTGTGTGCGCAGCCACCAAGTTTAATTCGCCATGAGGCGATATTTATCATTAAACATCGTCGGGAGCTTTAAATCTTGAATATGAAAGTCGGCAAGCATTTCTCTCGCGGTCTAAAGAATGCGATAGCGTAATACTCGATCGGCGGATTATAATTCTTTCGAGTCTCGTCGTCGATCGCGTAAGGGCGGATCGAACTCGCGTACGTATCTCGCGACCCTACGAAAGCAGTATCCACACAGTCATGGATGATTTACGCGCGTACGAGGTCGCGCGAGTGAAAGTAAGTAAATAATCGTTCCTCCCTCCAGCCCTTGCTCACCTCGGGAGACAGAGAGACGCGTTTCTCCACTCGTGCGAGCGAGAACGCGCTCTCGCGAGCGTGAGAAAGAGAGGCCGAAGTAGGGGGAGTTAGAAGGGCGAGAGGACAGAGATGGGAAGAGAGGAGAGAGAGAGAGAGAGAAAGAGAGAGCAAGTAGTGTATCGCCACGGTTGTGTTCAGAGATGCCGTGAGATGTCACCGGCGATATGTTCGTCGGCTCGCCGAGTCCACGTGGCCTCCACATGACGTTTGATTTCACGAGAAAAAGATAGGGGGAGAGGAACCGGGGTGGGACTTTACTCCGGACAAGATCGAAAAAGTGACGGCGCAAGGTCGGCCGAAAGGGTAAAGACGGACTTTGCCTCCTGGGCACGTGGACGCGTGAAATTCGAAACGAAGGCGGAGGACGCGACCCTAGAATCCCTTTCATAATCGCGCGATTAATCCCATTACCAAAGTCGATTATCGTCTCTTTGACTTAACGTCGCTAGACACGATTATAGAGAGAATTGCCACTTATAAAACTTGGATAATTCGCGAAACTTTTACAAATTTGCATTAGAAATAATCGTGGCTGCTATTCCGAATGTTTCCAACTTATAACTTATTAAATTTCCAGTCTCGCGAATCCAACTAAAGAGAGAAAAAAACATGTTTTTTGTCCATAATATATAATTTTGAAAATACTACCAAATGATATTATTTTACAAAGTGTGTTGAGAGACTGAGATTCTTCGGATTAATGCTTTTGCGTTTTTTTTAGAAAGTTGAGGAAAGTTGAAAACTAATGTCCTCTTATAAGCTAAAACTGATAAGGACGGCTACGTCATTTCACTAAACGGTCAACAAAGTATTAAGTTTTATCAGTTCTCATATAGATTCATATAGATTCGTTGTTCTCTGACCAGATTTACGATGAAGACAAGCCGCTAGCATTTTGTACGGAATGTTTCGAGACGATAATAGGATTCGCTCGGCGAACAGACGTCATCGTCACCGTATTTCCATCGAACTCGGCTTCCGCGCGTCACTACCACGCCACAACAAGCAGTGCTGATAGCACATACAGCTCTACTGTTATAGCTGTAGTCGCGACCGAATCTATCGTGAGTGAAGACAGACATGCAGAATCCACGAGACGTGCAATATGTTTCTGCTATTGCTCCTCTATTTTCTCTTTATTCCAGCATTTCTATAATTTCATTATATTCTGACTGATTATCAAGAGAAAAAAATTCCAAATTTAACAAAGATATGATTGAATAAAAAAGTTATAATTTATAATTATATATTTTTATATTTATTAATATATTTATATAATATTAATATATTTTTATATTTATATTTTTAGCTATCACATAATCATACAAATAGTTAAATGCTTTGTTGTTTAACCTTCTGTTGTAATTGAGCGAATATAATTTTATATAAAAATGATCCGGATTTCAGGTATGACTTATCAATCGAACATGATGGATCGGATAGAGTCGAACATCGCTACTTGCGACCTAGTAGCTACGTCCCTGGTCTGACTCGAGTATCTCTAGCGGCAACAGCTTGTGCTCTTGCGGCCGCGTATATCCGCCGCGGCCGTCCGTAGCGGCCTACTTGGAATATGACTCGCTCTCGCGGAGATTCTCCTTCCAACGCGACGTGGTCAACCGGTCAGCTCGGAGCTCCGAAGAACGTTCGTAGAATCATGGAGGAAAAACAACGCGATGAATCTCATCTCTCGCCTCTTGGCATCGAGGAAACGAAGCGTTTTTTCCGAAGCAACTTTTTTAAATTTTTATCCGCTATTCTGCGCAAGGCTGTAACAATTTACGTTCTCTAGGTGAATTTAAGATAAATGAAAGATAAATGAGATTAAATCCAATCGTTGAGAAATCATGATTCTAAAACGTGCGCTACTTTAAATCTAGGATGCAAAATGACACGCAGGCCACCGGATATAATTCACTTATCAAACGATGTAATATAACTCTAGAGATAAGTGACAGTTTTTATTTTCCTCTATACTTTTATCATTGATAGATTGCTGACGCGAACACGAAATATTGGTTATCTCGAGTTGAAATTATATAATAAGTTTTAGATTGCGAGAAAAAAAAAATCTACAAAATCTTATCCACGCGATGAATCTTTACACACTTTGTATATACATATTGTTCTATCGTGGCAAGATGAGCTCGCGAAATCGAGGATATATGCGTAGCAACGCGAGTTAGTAATTTCGTCGTTCGACGAAACTTTGTCATTGTCTCTCGACTTCTTAGGCAGGGCTTCTTGGGCATATACTTGAAAATTTTGGCGGGACTTTGCGGGCGGGCGGGCGGTTACGGATGCGGTTGTAATCCCGGCGTCTCCTCCTCTTACGTGCGATATTTGCGAAGCGTGACCGGGCACTTGTTGAATCGACAACGGGAACGGGAACAAGAGGAACACCGGGGGCGACGGAGAAAGGAGGCGAGAGAGACCGGGGCAAAGCGTAGAGGATAGTGCGGGAGAAAGGGGCAGGAGACGGATGGACGGTGAAAGGTAAGGTGGTTAGAGAAAGGAGGAAGTGCAGGAGGGACGGAGGGAGGAAGGGATGAAGAGGTACAAAATGCGAGATGAGAGAGAGAGAGAGAGGATGACTGGTGTGAAAGAGGGTCAGAGATGGCTGGGGAGGACGAGGGTGAGACGACGCACAGATGGGACAATAAGGGAGAGGAAGGGGCGAGAGGAGGAAATACACTGGAAAGGATTAGTTGTACGTGGCGATAATATGCGGTTCTTAACTGGCCGTAAATCAGAGTTGAGAGACGCCACGCCCCGGCGCTCCTTTTCCACTTGTGAAATCCTCGTAAGTTGCATCTCGTTTGTAGATCTCGCAATTTCGTGTCCATCGATAATTATTAGGGGGTGCGCGAGGTCGTCGTGAAATCGTGACATAAAAAGCGATGATAAATTATTCGGCAACGCGCATTTACATCTGATATTTCATTTTTTTACGTGTATATTTTGCAACTGATTCAGTGGCTCGATCGTTCTTTTATGCATTAAAAAACACACTTTCAATCGCGCATGTATCTATTCTTTGATTTTTGCACGAGAATGAATAATCTAAAAGAACTTTCCGACGTGTCGAATAGTTTCCAAGATATTCGCGCATTACAGTTTTCACGAAGTTGGACTGCATAAGTCACTTCGATATCGTATTTAAATATAAAGGAAGTCATAGATTCCGCGACGTGTGGCAACTTTGACGGCGAGTGATAAAACGGATTCGCCACGAGCGAGCAACAGGCGTCAAGCGAGCGAGGGAAGAATAACGAAAACATAGGGAACATAAAACCCGGAGAAGTTTTATCGCGGTTCGAACCGGAGACGAATACGAGGTAACCCAGTGCGCCGCGAGACTTGGATAACCGTATAAATCGTTGGAAAGTAAAAAAAAAAAAAGGATTGCACTAAGAGAATTCGTCGCGTCGCGATTCAATGCGAATCAATGATCAATGAATGCGGATGACACGTTAGAAGTAGAGGAGCCTCGCGACATATCCGACTACAACCGGATGACAAGATAGGTGAATTTACGAGCGGTAAAGTATTTGTAAATAATTGAACAGCTGATATGCGAGAGTCGAATCCGGTACAATTCTGACGAATCCAATTCCTTTCAAGGATACGAATCAGCGTTTGATATCTTCGCGTATAGCAAAATATCAAGACTGTCATTTATAATTCAAGTATAAGAAAAAAAAAAATGAAAAAAATAAGAAAATACAAATTTAAATTCTCTAAGTATAGATTGTGTCCTTAGACGCCTAGATGCTCAATAATGAGAGCGCTTTTCATTAATGAGCAAAAAATTGTGGCGATGGATAAAGCCGATAAAATCAACAAATAAAAATTAATGCAAATATAATATATAATGCGAATGAAACTAAACTAAATAAAATCGCAAATATAATCGCGTGAGTTACAAAAATTTCAGGATACATA